GCAGGAAAGAAAATATGGGCAGAACAAGTCTTTGTTGTCCTTGTGTTCTAGGCTTTAGAATATAACGGTGCATTTGTGTTCTTTGCTGTTAGGTCTGCGAGTGTCTCATTTCAATGTAGATAAGGGAGGTGTACCTGTTGACCCTACACAAAAAACTCTCACCAAGTTTTTAACATCCGGAGATGATCCTAAAAGAACTGGGGATGATCAAGGCTCCTTTGGTTCAGATTCGAGTGATCTCCATTTCTTGAATGAAAAGGAAACTACCGTTTCTCTTGACAGCCGCAGGACATGTCACTATGAGTTTGGAGCTCCATTTGAGAGAAATCGTTTATCATATATAGATGACGGCAATTGCATTTCCTACGAAAATCCTTGTGAAATGGACAGAATTGGTGAACTTTTTAGCCACAAAACTGCATCCACGGTACTTGTTGAAGTTTTATGTACCGATTATTTAACTACACTATATCTTCAAGTATTCACAATACTTAATCTAAGTGTTGGTTGTCTAATGTGCATTTATCTATTTCCCTAGGTGAAGAATAATGATGTGAAAGAGCGTACCACAGAATCTCCTAAAACAGAATTATCACACGTGTCAGAAAGAGATTCTTCTGTCCAGGGGGAGTTGGAGGACAGCAACCCTGACGGATCAAACAAAGAACCTAGTGCCTCCGGAAATGAGGATGACTGCAAGTTATTTTGGGTGGATGACTACAAGTGTTCATTGTGTGGGGCTGAATTACCTTCAAGTTTTATTGAAGAAAGACGAGCACTCCGATTTCCATCTTGCCGAGCGGCTTCAGAAGGAGGAATCTGGTATGGGCTCGAGCGCATTGATCCCAAGGCAAAGGTACTGCAAATTTTAAAGCGGTATTATGGTAAATACCTCTTATTTGATGATTTAAATCAGCAAGCATCATTGCAGAATGTGACCAAATTCTCTTTTTCTCTTCACTTAAAACCACATCGATACGTTTAATATAAAGCAAACTGCATTCAGAGCGGATGACATTATCTAATTTTCACGCCGTGGAGGGTTGAGCTTTTTCGTTCCACGGTTATGTTATTCAAAATCTCTCAACGGAACACGTAACGCGTGGTCCTTATCGTGCTTGGGCATATTCCCTTTGGTTAATTGCTAATGGTTATTTCATCCTACTTGTTATACATGTAGAGTTATGCAAAAGGAATATGTTGGGAGCCAAAATAGGCGTAAGAAGCATAAGTCATCTCCAGAAGTCAAGCATCTGCCAATTGATTCCTTCTTTGCCAAGAAGAGTGGTCAGAAATTGTAGTCCTCTCCTCTGTGTTCTTTTTATAATAATCTTAGACTAGTTTTGTATAAATCATTATTACATTCGTCGTTTTGTTTGTCTGTTCCCCTTTTCTTTTATTGTGAATATTCACTACTGATAATTAGTGCAATTATTTTGTAAATGTAATAAAATTTAATAATATTTAGGGTAAATTATAGTAATGGTCCTAAAACTTTTGTGTAGTTTGCGTTAATAATCTTTTAAAACTTGCATTGGAGTCATTGAATTTTAACTCACCTTCATTTCAATCACTGTTGTTATCTGTCATCAACGTTAATGATAATCGATGTGTCACCGTCGCACGTAATTTTTTCTTTGTCAATGTGACTATTTAACTATTTAAACGTTAATTAGTCGGATTCAGAAATATTTTTTAGGATGGACACGTATATATTAATATTGAGATTTTTCGAATGAGGTGTACAAATAAAATTTCAGAGAAGCATCAATCGTAAAATTTACAATTAATATAAAAAAATTCATATTCCAATGTAGGCACGTGTTCATTCTAGGCATACTTTGCATCCATCGTTGCTTAACATTTGACGATAGAGCTGACTTGGCTATTAAAAATTGTATATTTATATATTTGACCCTTATTATTTACATATTTAATTAAATAATGAGGATCAAATGTTAATAATGAGGATTAAATATATAAATATCCAAAAAATTAACTATCATCTTCCGTCGAATGTTAACTATAATTGATTTGATTGGCATCGTTTAAATAATTACATGATTTAATTAATAAAAAATATCACTGATAAAAATGAAATCCCTTTAATGGTCATGGGTGTAGTTTACGTGCGTTTTCTTGAGTGCGCTTTACACGTTTATATGTCCACAAGTAGATTATATTTTTTTAAGGTTTAATATAAAAATAAGTGTTGAAATTATGTTTTAAAATATGATTTGATGTTTAAATTTTTTATTAAAAATAATTGTATAATATTTCTAACATTACATTTTTTAAGTGTCTGAGTGTTAACTACCGTTAAAAATTTCCGTTAAATGACAATGTCACAATTTAGTAATTTTGAGAATTTTTATTTAAATAAAAAATAAAAAATATTTTTTAAAATCTTAAAAAAAACCTAAAACTTTTAAAATCTTAATTTTATTCCATTTGTCATTGCTAACAGCCACCAACACGGTCAATTAGCCGAATACCCAACGACGTGTGACCGACCAACCACTTACGACCAAAACTCCTATACTTTCGCAACCGAGAACACTTAGAAATTGTATAAATAAAAGATTTCATTTTAAGATTTTGAATCTCTAAAAATCCATTTAACCATGATAATCGACTATTTTTTTGTTTGGTCGATCTTGTCAATCGGTCGTGATATTCAACCTTTGGTCCTTTGCAGGAAAGGAGAACAGGGAAGGGAGAGTTGTTTTTAACAAAAAAAAAAACTGTTTTATTATTAAAAAAATTGAAAAATATATAATAATGAAACACCTTGCCGAAGTTAACCTCATTGCCAGAGAGTATCCAACACCTTGCCTTGCTTTCAACATTGGAGATTTGCAATTGCTCTAGTTTGATGTCATTGCCCCAAGGTGTAGGGAATCTCACGGCACTGCAATCGCTGTGAATCGAAGGATGCCCGCATCTGGAAAGGCGGTGTATGAAGGAGAGAGGCGAAGATTGGCCCAAGATAGCCCACATTCCATCCGTTTATATCTTCTCTGACCATCCTTCCTTCATAAGGTAAAGGATTTGAAGATCTAATTTCACACTCCTTAAATTTCTAATATAATTTTCAAAGTTTACATCATGAGATAAAATCATACGTCCGTCCATGATTCATCATCGATTTCTGTATTAATGAAACGAGGATATGATTTTGTAAATACATTTTCAGGCAGGGTGACTGGACATGCAGTCTCTCAAGAACAAAAGCTCGGTTCTGTTCACAACCCTGATGACAGACGCATCATGTGAAAAATTAGAGACCAATTTTGTTCCCATAGTGCCAGGTAAGAACATTCTCTTAATGTTTAATTTACACTAAACATTCTTTCATGTGAAAAATTGTTTATTACTTTACATTTTAAGTAAACAAAACACTCAGAGAATGTCAAACACTAATTTAATATATAGTTTAAGTAATGCAGTTCTATAAAAGTAACTTAATCATACACTGGTATTACAGAACAATGTAACCTTGTTAAAACCCTAGAACTACGGTGGGTATATATTTTCTCGGCACACGCATTGCCACACTTGAGGGTAGTACTCGTTCTCTTCCGACTCCACCGCTCGAATCGGTATTCCGACCAGCATACATGGCTCACATTGCTTGCACTTTGCATGACAGGAAACCGGAAATGATCCAGGCCTTCTAATTCCATCAAGCAGCCCCAGACTTTCCTGCATATCGATATAAAACACTCTAAGAGCGTTATGTAAACAGTAAACTAAGAACACGAAATCACTATTAAAGCGACCGTGGGATGTATCGACCGGGGAAGGTGACGGTGAGCCGGCCAGCTTGCGAGGGTGAACCGGGATGGAAAAATGAAGAACCGCGAGCAAGACGGTGACGGTGATGATGGTGGTAATTATGTTTATGTGTTCCATGTTCCTAGATCAGATCATGTATAACATGATGGCAACTATATATACAGTAGTTTGAGAATCTGGGGCAGTTGAAATGTTTACTGTGTAACATCAAGAAATGGTCAAAACTGATCACAGATGAACTAAGAGTATCATCATCAATGAGCATAAGCCATGTTCTTACAGTTCCATACGGTTTTATCTTTTCAAGTGGAATAATGAAGGGCATAATAATACTATTAAAATACTAATTAAGAAATTAATAATTGTCAATTTATTAATAAAGATTATAAAAATTAATGTCTCAAATAATTTTATGGAAAAATATAACAAATTTATATATTTTTATTGAATTAAATAATTTTTTAGCATAAAATATAACGAAATGTTACATGAAAATAAAAGAAATCAAATAAAACCTTTATATTTTTAACTCCACGTGTGCATGTGTAGTATGTACATAACAAACAAATTATATTATATTTTTACGAATGTATTGAATGAAAGGAACAAATAATATTTAGTCCCTATACTCGTTTGCTTATTTTCAAATTAGTCTTTAAATTTGTTGTCCATATTAATCTATAAATTTAATATGTTTCCATTTTTAGTTCTTACGACGACGATGTAACACTATGGATTATATCATATGGTACAATATTAGGGTGCCATGTCATCAAAACGATTATATTTTTTTTGGGCCCATTTTTTGGGGGGCCCTGCGCGGCCGCGTAGTTTGCGCCCCCCAGCCACGGACCTGGTGGAGATCTTCTGTATATCCGGGATCGGGATCACGGTGCCTGCATAAGTGAGTTATGGATCTGGATTTCTATCTTGAACCCGTATCTTTAGGGACATATGATTTATGGTTAGTGTTTTCATATCAACTCTTTGCACTGCCTCAGGCAAGACCGGTACGGAAGTAAGAGCATCATGGGGTGCCATTTGTGTCATTTTAATCGGCTTGACAATGTCCGGTGGCGGGGCTTATCTCATATACAAATACAGATTAAGGTTAAGTGATCGAATTCGGATTGATGAATGATTTTGTGGTAAATTATTGATTACAAATCAAGATTTTCAATAAATAAATCCATTGCAAAACGGCAACGACTTGTTTCAATTTTAGAGAATTTGCAGATAGCCCTATGTTTCCAACTGAGATGGTCCGCAGTCCCTGCACCTCCGACGACATCTTTCTACGATCTCTTTGCAGTCCCAACCTCGAGATCGAGTCCGATATCCTTTCCGTTGTAAGCAATGGGTGCGTACATCCATAGATCATTGGAACTCAACAGCTTAATCTGCAGTTGCAAAAACTTGACATATTGGACAGCTTCTTCAAGCATTGTACTAATATCAACCTTTGTTCCATTGGGGACAAGGTTCTGTAAAATTCTCAGCCTTTCGTTGATTCTTTCCCTTCTTTCCTGCGAAGATAGATAAGATAGATCGATTAATTTGTCGGTTTTCGATTTAATCTTCGGCAATGCTTGATAGAGTTAATGGTGGATACTTGGTTACCTACCCTTGCACAAAGGCTTTGAGGATCAGTGGCAGCTCCCCTGTTGGCTCTTGTTTTGCCATTCAAATTTAGTGCTGCATTGCCCTTTGAACCCGAATTCGACTCCGGAGAGGCATTCGTGTCATCCCCGGATGAGCAAGTGGCCCAGCTTTGCCCGTTCAGACCAGCATTACCACCGTCTTGGTCGACGTTCTTCTTCGACCTTGCATTTCTCCTGGTCCTTTGAATCTGTACCGGTAAACAAAATTATGATCAACAAAAGTGCTGCAGAAGAAAAACAGAGAAAGAAAGATGCATTTGTGTTTTCGCAACTCACGTCTCCCGAACTAGTCCGAGATCGTTTCTTCGAATTCTCGGCTACATTGTTGCATTTCTTCTCCGTCTTATTGGGTACCGAAATCTTATCAGAAACAACAGGTTCTTCCGCGATTAAACAATCATCGACATCAACGAGAAACGAACTCGTGTTCGTGTCATCTTCCATACAAAAATCGATCGAAACGGTGCTATTATCGGCTACAAAAACCGGGTGAGAATCACTCAGGTGAAACCTCTCTTGGCTCAACGAAGACGAAAGAAGAACATTACTACCGGGAGGGCTATAACTACTCATATCCGAAGAACAGGATGAAACAGTAGCATCAGCCATTGTCATGTCGACATTAACAGGCCAAACAGACGATGGGATCTTCGTGTTCGACCCCCGATCAAGCTCGAGCCGATCATCATCAGGTAGGGGACAGTTGCTAAGCAATCGAGCCATGAAATCAGCTTCTTGATCAGTGGTATACATCCCACTGAGACAACTCCAATGATCTTCCAAAATGTCGTCCATCGAATCCATTAATGAAAATAGTTGTAGAATTTTCGTCGGATTTCGATCTGATCCTGGAAAAAGAAGCATGATAAACAGGCCTATATATACACTCCGGCAGCTGTGAAGAATGTTCCACCAGAAAGCATGGACTTCAGTCGTGCAAATCTCTCTCATAATTACCAATTATTACAATGCTCGTAATTTTGGGGTCCACAGGAACAACTCAGATAAACACTAAAATAGTGCAAAAAAATTTTTTTTGCCTAACGCAAAACGCAACCCTAGGACTCAACTGTGTACTCATAAGGAGTAGGGTTGTATATGACTTGTGCCATATTTTGAGCTATTCGAGATTGATTTGATTAAAATTTGATTAAAATTTGATAAATATTTAACTTGAATAAACTTGACTTGAGCTCGAGCTAGACTCTAGTTCTTAACGAGCCGTAACGAACTACTTAATACTCGACTTGAAAAGTTCGTGAGCAGCTCGAAAATATAATATTAAAATTTTATTTAAAAAAATAAATTACTAATAACATTAACATTTATATGTTGATTTTTTTATTAAAAAAATGCAATATAAGATTTTTATATATTTAAAATTTAGGTTTGAAATAGAGACTTCAATCGAATTAAGTTTAATTTTTTTTCATTTCGAGCTTTTATGAGCTTCAGTTTATGATTTCAAGTTCAAGTCTAACTTGAAAATTTTAGATTCACGAGCTTTCGAGTCGAGTAAAACTCCATTTTAACATTTTTCGAGTCAAATCAAACCCAGTAATATTCGAGCTCGATTCGGCTAATTTACAACCTAATATTAAGGAGAATGATTTTGTACTTGCAACATTAACTAATATTCGGTGGAACAAAACAACGAAAAACTGCTAATTACAAAAAAGGTCAAATTATGGTTTTAGTGCTTTATTATATTCTGATTTGAAATTTAATTCATGTACTTCAATTTGATATAATTTGATCATTAACTTTTATAAATGTCATTAGTTAAGCCAAATAAATGACAGAAGTGGTTTTTTTGGTAAGAAATATCACTTCCACAGTAAATATATACAAGTTAAAAAGGTGTTTATAAGAAAAATGTTGTTTTATGATCCGAATCTCGTTCGGTCTTATCTAAAAAGTTTATGGTGTGATCCGTTTAGTGAAGAAATAAATTGAGAAAGAAAATTGGGGATTTATAGTGAATGTGGAGGTTAGGGGTGTAAACGAGCCGAGTCGAGCTCAAGTATTGTTGAGCTCAACTCGACTCGAAAACTCGCGAGCTTAAAATTTTTAAGCTCGGCTCGAACTCGAAATCCTTAACTGAAGCTTGTGAGCAGCTCGAAAAGGCTCGAAATGAAAAAAAAAATTCTTAAACTTAATTCGATTGAAGCCTCAAACTCGAACCTGAACATTAAATACATAAAAATCTTACTGTATTTTAAAAAAAATCAATACATAAATGTTAATATTATTAATAATTTATTTTAAAAAATATATATAATCTTAATATATTACATTTTCGAGTTGCTCATGAGCTTTTCGAGTTGAATATCAAGTAGCTCGTTTCGGCTCGTTAAGAACTCGAGTCGAGTACATTTGATTCGAGTATTTATCGAGCCTTGATCAAGTCGATCTCGAGTAGCTCGCAATCTGTCTCGTCTCATTTACAGCCCTAGCGGAGGCTACGATACAATTTTGTTCGACTGGGATTATTGTATATGTACAACTATCTATAATTTTATTCAATTTTTTCATTTGGTATTTTTTTAATATTTTTACATAAATCTATATATTCTTGTCCTTATTATTTTACGATTAGTTATGAACTAGAGTTAAAGGTATGTTTCTGAGTGTTCCAAATTATTTCAAGCTAAAGTATATGAACTGAATTCCAAACTCTAGTACTACGAAAGGACCAAAACCAAATTTAACCAAATAACCAGGGACTACTTGGTGAATGGGGTAAAGGAAAGAGAATCACACCTGGCGATGGGTAGACGTGGGGGGTGTGTTAACTCGAAAAATATCGTAAATCTTTTTAACGTAAAATAAACGAGCAGTCCATATGTTGACGAAGAGACTGAAAACGACAGTTGAGGAAGAAGGGTGGGGCCAAGATCGTGGAGATGAGTCTATTTGCAGCTAGCTGACGTTTTCAAACCAGACATTGTTATATGATGTCGGGATACTTTGTCTTATCTATTTATTTATTTATTAATATGTGATAATTACAAAATGATTATTTGATATTAAATGTTCGATATTTTTAGTGTTCGAACAATAACCTTAAACAATAACAACACTTCCTAAAATGTGGGGTAAATCATGCGCTTAATATTTAAACTATCAGTTTTGATATGTTTTAATACCTAAAATTTTAATTTTTTTCATAATCATTACTAACATTTAATTTTTGTTTCATTATAATACTCGTTAAAAACTTAACGTTAATTTTTAAAATTTTTGAAACTTTAGGTACTGAAACGGGTAAAAACCGATAGTTTAACTACTAAAGACATTAATTTTTTAACGGCAATGGTACTCAAATAAAATAAAATTAAATATTAAGTATGATTTTAAAAATTTAGGTGCTAAAACTGATAATTTAGATACTAAACGCATAATTTATCCTAAAATAAATTACATTTAATAAGCTAATGTTTAACGTAATTTGATACCTCTAACTTATCTCTACGTGTTTAAATGATAAGATATCACTCTATCCAACACATAACTTTTGTATGAAGAAAATTATAAACTCTTCCCAAAGAAAAAAAATCAAAAACTATAGCTCCTCTCACTTGATCAATTGCTTGAAGTTATTTAAATTATTGGAAAACAACATTTATCCTTAATTATTTAAAAATTTATATCTATTTATTATTATTTAATTTTACAATGAATAAACACTTGATCAGTTGCTTAAAGTTATTTACATTATTGTAAATCGATATTTATCCTTAATTAATTAAAAAATCCAAATAAAATCTAATCCGAAATAAATGTAGGTTAAAAGCATAATTCTCTTTATCTATCAATAAATCCATCCATATATTCTCAAATCTATCTATACCACATCTATTGTTTATCATCGTAGGACGAAATTGAATTATATTTTTTTCCAAAACCAAAATACGAGTTTTTCATTGTATTAGGGGACCAAAGTGTTATTTTACAACATATTAATCTATTAGCATAATTATATTAATAATACCAATCTTATCTCATTAATCATCAGTTTTTAGAGTTAAATTTTAATAAAGAATTACATTAATGTTTTTCAAACCCTACGCGTAAACTATATATTAATATTAAGATAAAAGATATTATAATTTTTAATAAAGAAATACATTAATGTTTTTCCAACCCTACGCGTAAACTATATATTAATATTAAGATAAAAGATATTATAATTTTAATAAAGAAATTAATTAATATTTTCCCAACTCTACGAGGATATTAAACGCATAGGAAAGGAAGTCTAAAGACGACCAAGAAAAAACTTACATTTTGTTCTAACTACATCTCCATTGATATTCTTTAAAAAAAAAAGTGGGATGGATGATGGGTAATGAAATTCTCTGTAATCTTACTAGTTTTTCTTCCACTGATGCCCTTTGTCGGATACTGTGACCGACGGGAGACGATGAGCAAGAAAATGGCAACTATGGCAGCAACCAACAGGATTTGCAGAAGCATGCGAATTGGTTACTGCTGCTCGTCATCGGCCACTTCCTCGCCGAGAGCCCTTTGTGAAATTCTGAAGTAGAGAATACCCATAGTAGCCATGCAGGCCCTGCACAACATAATTTATTATACATGGTGTAAATAAATAATCATTTACGATGTATTTGATCTTCCATATTATCTCAATCGGATATCAGTTGCGGCGCCCACAGATCTCGACTCCGAACACAGATGCTTGCATATATGCAAAGAAAGATAATGCTTGGGAAGAATGGGTAAACGCATGCACAAGAGAGAAAGATGCATCAATGTGTGCGCGAGTAGGTTGTTGGTTGGTTGGTTAGCATGGCATTGCATATTCATATAGAGGGGAAGAAAAAAAGAAGGTGCAGACTTACATGATTGCTATAACAAGAAGGATTTTTCTCAGATCCATCCGTGTTGATCGTTGTTGCTTCATACGACCTTCTCGGCTGCCATCAGCATTTGGCGAGTCTTTATGTGGAGGAGCAGTCACTGGGAGAGTTGGTAATGAACTTGACCAGAAGGGAATTAATGCTCTGAGAAACTTAAGATGAAGTGAACCTACAACAAGAATTTATGAATACAATGATTCATATGATATAGTCATTCATCTTCTCTAAGTTCTAGATTTAAAGCCACCTTGGATAGATACATAAGAAAAAGTCGAACCAGAAGTAATAGGCCACAGCAAGAACAAATTGGAGAAGTTGTAATCAACAAGAGAGCGGATTGGCTTCATGAACCAAGGCTTTTTAACTCACCCCTACGAGAATACTTTTTACGATCATCTTCGTCATCTGCATAATACGAGATTTCAGAGTTTTGCTGATCAACATGGACTGTACTCTTTCGTGTTGTAGCCACAGGCTGGGTTACATCGCAACATAGAATAAAACACCCGAGATAAGAAAGCAAACAACTAACGTACTGGAAGTGACACATAGAAGCAAGCAAAACAAAGCATAAAATGATTTGAAGAACTCCAATCACATCCAATAATTAATAAAAAAAAGACTTACGGTAACAGAACTTGAAGCTTTCATGTAATTCCCAGCTGAATTATGATCATCAATCTCCATTATTTCTGTTACTGCAAGTTTCGAAGGTCCTGCAGCAGCTGAGTATCCTTCATCTTTTACAACAGAGGGTGATGAATTCTCATCATACTCTCCTCCACAAGTTACATTTACCAATGGATCTGAAGTAAATGCAGGTGGAGGAACACGGGGATCTGCTGTAGGCAAAGAAACAGGATGATTTCCAAACAAATTCTTCTCCATGCCAGTCTGTTCAATATCAAGTCAAGTCATTTAACTTTTATTTATGCACAACGTGAGATAAGAAATTAAGAATACACGCTGCATTCATCCTAAAAAGGAGACTACAATAAATCTGCAATAGGGCATGCCAAAACTCCAATCAAACCAAATCACTTTTTTTTCACAAATCACAACTACTTGCAGATGATTCACACGTATTCAGAGGTTAATTTCAGAGGCAACAGATGATCTTCAGCAGTTTGGAACATAAGAAGATTGAGCAGGCACCCCAAATACTGAGATCTATGACATTCTAGTATATAAAGTTGAATTTTAGAAGCTTGAAATAGCATAGGAAACGAGATTTCAGTAGCTTTCCTGCAGTTCAATACTCTTAGTGAACAAGGAAAGAACAGGTTTGGCCATAGCAAAGATGCATGGCCAAAATTTTACAATAACATTCATTGGAAGTAGTTGGTTCAGCTGAATGCAAAATATTGAAATTGACAGGTCAAACTTTCCTACCAGGGAATAGTTTAATCCCACAACTTTAATGCTAATTGAAAGGAGAACTCAAGCTTGAATAACACATGCTGAAAAGGATAACAACTGCATTACAATTTACGATTGGCAAGTGGCAAGAGTAGGACTTCAAAGCACCCATGGGCAAATATGATAAGAAGCTAATAAGGAAAAGTGGAAGAATAGTCTGATAATCAAAATATTGAAAGCAAAAAATAAAAATAAAAATATAAAGTTCATTTTACATTTAGAATGAGGAGCCATTCTTTGTAACAGCCTAAATCAAGCATGAATTCACCTGCATAATAGCCTCCTTCAGCAGTGAATGAAGACGAGATGCTGAATCTTTTACACTCTTGGGAGGCCATATCTGGGGAAAATCATTGCAAAATGAGACAAGCCAAAGCAGAAATAACCAATACCATTTCACCTAACTGCTACAATACAAGCATAAAAGTAAATAATTGAATAATGCCAAAAGAAAATCATATGGTCTTGAGTCCATTGAAAGAATTCAAACAAATGAAGTTACTGGAATATCAGAAACATGACAATCAGCAGAGGAGTTTTTCTCCATTAACAACTTAAATGTGAGCCTAACATCACCTTCAACCTATGTTGCACTGATACAGATACGGGGACAAATACGAGGATGGGTACGGGGACGAGAAACATCAACTTTTTAAAATTATACGGCACGGGTATGATAAATATAAATTAAATTTTAATATTTTAAGACATAAAAATGTCATAAATATTCAATAAAGTTCATAGTAACTAGAATTCTTTGATAAAAGATGAGATTGTAGTGGATGTAAACGAAATCTTCAACTAGATTTAGATTTACTTATTCCTCCCCAGTGGACAAAGGAATAAATACTCTAATTTCTTTCACAACAAGAGGATGAAGCAGGTTGTCCAAGTATTTTGGAAGACAAATATTGGAGCAATGGAGTTTCGACACCAAAGTTGGTCAACCAACTTTTTGGATCTGAAGAATACGTCTTTGTGAAAAATTTAAATCCTAATTAAAAAAAATCATATCTTAATTCATCTATATTCTTTTTTTATTTATTTAATTCTTAAAAATATTCTTGGATACGGGCGTGAAGATCAAATATCATCCCCGATACGTCCCTGAAAATCTCTCTGATGTATCCAATTAATTTCAATTGTACCCCATAAAATAGGACGTCCCAGGTACGCATGTACCCGTCCCGTACTCATGTTGGGGACGTATCAGGCACTTGGTATGGCACTAAGATGCCGAACCCGTGCTACAAACTGTAAAGTAGTAATATCTTGCAAAATTTTGCTCTCTTTTTGGATGAAATAAAATTACTTGTCCCCAAAAATAAAGAAAGTACTTAAATGAGAGGTTCCAAACGTTAGAGCAGCATGGTTACGGCAGTAGTTTTTATTACTGTTAACCATCTCTCTCCATCATTTGAAACATGTACAGTGTACACATTTAGCACCTAGATGCTTCCAACTACTTGAAAGGTTCAAGAACATATATCAATCACTTCAACAATACAAACAGAACCTTCTGGGCATGAAAGATCTGATCCATGTTGAAAATAAACAGGTTTTGAGAACTTACAGATGTTGAACATGAAGGACATGCATATCCAGCAGGTGCAATGTGCGGAGGAAAACTTTTGATATGTGAAACCAAGCAATTTGTATGTATGACATCTAAAGTAGCAAATAAAACTGTAAGATCATACAGCACAAGTTTAACATGCTGTTTTGCACCCAAAAAAAAGGCAGTATCTAGCATCTACATCAGCATAAACACATACGTAGGCAACCCAACCGAGTGGTTACAGAGCCATCCCCTTCCTCAAGCACAGCTTGGCATTTGCAACATCTGGGAGGCCAATCATACTCTCCATCTCTTACCCACTCTGAGTAAGTGCGTATCTAGAACAAAGGGGAACTAAATCATTATAAGCCTCAAAACAGCATTCTATACAACATCTCCACTCAGAATCATTCTATAACACTAAAATAAATACAACATGCATGAATAAGCTTTCTCGAGATATTGAATATAATTAGAAAAATGCATGCAGTGATGAATCAAAATTATTTTTTTAAAACAATTCCAACTTATCCTGGCAGTGGTAACTGCAAAAGGACTTGTACATCAATCAGATGTCAATGCACTTTAACCGCACTTCGTTCAAATCAAATCAAAATGCTTGTAAGCAAAGTTCTGAGTCCAATATAAACAGAATTTAAGAACTTACAATACATATTTGGTGCTCAGGAAAGCAGATGCATTCCCCACAAACAGGAACCTTGTGCACGAAACAATATAATTTTGTAGCCTGAAACACCAAAAGGAAAAACAATAGAGGCTTACACAAAGAACGATTTATCAATCTTGATCCAACCACCAGCAGCTCTAAAAATTATCTCGTGTAATCAGAATTAAATTCATAACAAATCAAGCTACGCCTATATTACATTTGAACCTCCAAATATTAAGGTCAATGTCCTCCTCTCTAAGATTCATTTATTATTCGCAATTTTCAAATTAATAAACCTTAAATTAAAACAACAAAGATCTACAAAGTCGTAAATTCACGACAAAAAGAACGATAGAGACCTAAAAGACTAAAACCCAGCGACGAATTACAAATTCAAATAAAAAATTGTAAAAAGAAGCAAATTAAACAAATTATTGATACGAAGAATTGTAGGCTGTAGCTATGAGCAGTGAGTGCCAGTAAACTCATCAAGAGATCGAAAAATAGAGTCAAATTGATTTTAAACAAAAATTGTACCTTACGGCATTTGCAGACCACCATTGCATAGAGCAGTGAGGAAGAAAGGGATCGACTACTTGGAGCTCGATCAGGTTTTGTACTAAGCTTCGGATTTTATAGATTGATTAAATAAACAGAAGATCAGAGAAAACGTAAAAGAAATAGATGAAGAATATAGCAAAACATTTCTAATTAACAAAAAAAAATGACGATTTTGAGTGAGTTGATGAGTCTGTTTGCACAGAAACAAAATCCTTCTTCGACTTGCGATAGTTGCCAATTCAGATTATTAGATCCCCATTTTTTTTCAGAATATAAAGTATGGTATAATAACAGTTTTACTTCTCAAAACTTACTTATTCTATTAAATTGATCATAATTCAATAAATCTTCTATATTTAAATTTAGAGTAAACTATGTCAGTAGTCCCTTTTAATTTCGGTATGACTGACTTTGATCACCGATTTTTTTAATTAAATATATTTGATCTTTTACGTTATCGATCCATCAGGTTTCAATATCTTGACAATTAACTTTCATTAACTCATTAACAGAAGTATTATGTAGCAATTCTAAATAATAAAAAATATACATTTATCAGCTTTAAGTGACGTAGCAATTTTAAAATAATAAAAAAAATCCAACCACCTCTTCTTCTTCCTCTCCTTTTACAACGGTTACACACAAATCCAAGAACAAGGATGTTGCTTCGACCGTTAGACCTCGACGGTGATTCCACACTGACCGCCTCTATAGACGGGTGAACAAGACCAAATGAAGCCCAAAGCCACATGTTTTAAGCCTCCCTTAACCCTTTCCTTCCTTTCTCTCGACCGAGACTCAAGGACCCAAAGTCACGTGTTTGACGTGAAGAGGCACGAAAGTAACTCGTATATTGAATCGTGTGAAGTGGGGTTCATGTTAATACAGAGCGTGGCTGGAAGAAGAAGAAGAAGAAGACTCGTGAGTGTTACGCATGGGTTTTTTAGATTATTTTAATTTTTAATTGCCACGTAATACTTCCGTTAATGGTTTAACGATTATTAACAACTGAGGGACTTAAACGGGATGGACCAATAACGTAAGAGACTAAACACACTTAATTTAAAAATCGGTGACCAAAATCGATTAGATATAAAATAAAAGAGACTACTGGTATAGTTTATCCTTAAATTTAATATAAAAGGGTATCAGGCCCCTATATTTAAAAAAATAAGACTCTTTAAAAACTCCTCCTAAACAATACCAAAAGACATCAAAACACATTGAGCTAGCCGTACCGAGAACCCATTCTACAAGCGTGTGAGCTACAATGTTACAAGAACGATGACATAAAGATAAATGGAAACACCACTGAGACCTAAAATAAACTTTGAACAGTTGGAGGTAAAAACTAGGGATGGCAATGGGTCGGGTCGGGTCGGGTCGGGTTTTTGTGCCACCCAACCCGACCCGAGAAGAAAGGGTTTTTCCCCCGTGACCCGACCCGACCCGACGAAATTAAGGTTTCACCCGACCCGAATATATGACTTAGAAACTCGATCCGACCCGACCCGAAATAATAATAAAAAAAAATTTATTCAATGAAAACAGTGACTTAATTGAAAAAAATTATATATGGAGGGACATTATTGTAATTATCCCTAAATATATAAGATAAAATTATATATATTTTTCGGGTCGGGTTGGGTCGAATTTTTTTCATCCTAAACCCGACCCGACCCCGAAATTTTTAAAAAAAAAATCCGATCCGATCGGGGTCGGGTCGGGTCAGGTCGGAACCCGTCGAATTCGGGTTGAATTGCCATCCCTAGTAAAAACCAATAGTGGAAATATCATCATCCTCACCGAGCACTTTGTTAACCAACAACACACAGTCAGATTCAAAGTGAACCGTCGACCAAAAGACCCCTATACTTTAAAAAAACAATACAATCCTCGTTAAGACTGAGATATCTTAGTTTGCTTAATGCTTAGCATACCTTTAATGGAGGTACTGTCATCAGTTAATTTACAATTTGTGTGACCTGTAGATAGTTTAGTGTATTATTTTTTACATTAAAATTAATTGAACATATGGTTTTAAATATTCATGTATTCGTCTTTAATAGAAAACTTCATTTATTGATGAAGTGTGGTTTTTATTTTGTAATGAATGTGGTTCAAATATAGTTGTGGTGGTGGGGTGTTTAAAAAAATTTATAAATTATAAAGCTTTTATGATAAATATGATATAAAATTATCGTTTAAAATCTATATAATGTTCTAATAAAATTAAATATTAACTTTTTATTAACGTTGACACATCATCAATTTAACAATAATAACGATAAATAATCATTTCATTACAAAACAATTAGCCGTTAATTAAACGAACCCAATTAACAAATGCTTCTGTTTTTATATTATAACTTTAAGCGGTCACGAAAGGAGACTTTCACACTACGAAGTACTAAGCCTGGCTGAGTTATAGGTCATTGATAAGATCACCCTACTGCCACAGATCTAGTCATCACAGCCAAACACTCACACGCTAACCTACTCTACGAAACATGTTTTCTAGATTAACACGCCTTACTGCCACTAGGATTCTCCAACGTGTCTAAATATAAACATGACACTTGGCACGATAAGAATGAGTGATCCACGTGACGAGTCAAGTCAATAGAGTCGAGTCAAAAATTTCAATTGTTAGAGTTGACGAGTCATATTTTACACTTAAATTTAACTTAAAATTTTTTCGAGTCGAATCGAATTTAAGAAATTCGAGTTGAGTTATTATAGTCGAGATATTTAAGTTTCTATACTAATTCTATTATAATTATTTATAATATTATGACAATGATTTGTTCCAAATTTTTTACTTTATTTAACCATAATATATATATATATATATATATATATATATATATTATTCTTTCATATTGTAATGATATTTAATAAATCAAATACATTCTAAAATTATGAAATATGTTAATGATGTTATATTTTAAAAAAAACGAATTTTGAGGGTAAAGTATTAATGAGAGTATAAATGAGTCAAGGAATCAATGAAAAGAAAGAATTTGCAAACAGTTCTAGTCAAAAGACCAAATTGAGTAAAATGTAAAGTTAAGGGATTAAATAAAAGAGAGTACATATTTAGTAAAAAAGAATAACAATTGAAGTTACATAGATATTCTATTGTGATATACGAGCATGTGGTTCAGATTTGGTAAAAAATGAATTAAATAAATGATGAATTGAAGAAATAACAAGATTATGAAAAAATAAATGACTAAATTGAAAAACAATTGTTATCAAAAAGAAGAATTGAAAGTACACATGTATTCTACCATGATTTAGGAGCATGTGGCTTAAATTTGGTAAAAAATTGACTTAAAATAAATGACGAATCGAAGAAATAAGGAAATTGAAAATTGAAGGACTAAATTGAAAATCAAAAAGACGAATTGAAAGTACACATGTATTCTACTATGATTTAGGAGCATGTAGTTCAAATTTGGTAAAAAAAATAGACTTAAAATGAATGAGGAAATGAAGAACTAATGAAATTAGTGACTAAATAGTAAAATTGTCAAAATACTTAGTCAAATTTTCAGTTTTCAAGTAACTCGAAAATTAAAATCTCAACTCGACCCAAACTCGAAAACCGAATTTATAATTGGAGTTGACTCGAATAACTCGACTCGGATAACTTGAAATTGAAAAAATAATTCATTTTTTTGAGTTGAGTCGAGTTTTGCTCACCCCTAATATCAACCAAATGATTTTGGTTGTAAAATTATTAGTATTTATTGAAATCTTGTGTTTGAAACATTATAAATATTTATAATCTCGTTTACCTATTTATAGAAAAATCAACCTTTGATTTTAAAATATATAAATGACGTAATATGTTTTAAAATATCTATAATATTTTATAGAAGGAGACGCTTGAGTTCTTATATGATTTTTTATACTAATTAGTAGTTATAGTATTTTTCTCTCCGTTTTAATTTTATATTTCACATTATAATGTAATGTAATTTTTATTTATTTATGGAAAAAATATTTTTGAAGAAACATATGCTTGTTCTACTATTAATGAAGATTATGATGATGAAGTGGAGGACATCATTGACATATATATAAAAAGTTATTATATTACATAACCTTAATATTAATATTTAAATTTCACAAATATTATTTTCATTAAACAAATATTTTTCTTGGTTTGTTGTTGTTTGTTTTAAGATGTTGACGATTTAAGTAATGATGAAGACTAGCACTCTAAGAGGTAAAAGTGCACTACTCAGTTTGCTACAATATAAATGTTCATGATCTACATTTTTTAATGTTTGTGTTATTCAAAAACATTTGTGTAATTGTGTTGGAGTTTTTTTTAGACTTTAGTTTATCGTTTTTATTCTGTTACTAGTTGTATTGAAATTAATCTTTTCTCCATTTTAGATATAATGTGAAATTAGTCAATGATAATTTCATTACGTAAAAAGTAAGTCGAATGATTATTTTTTAATAGACCCATTTTGGACTCGAATCAATTAGATCTCGATATGATCCCAATTTTCTATAATTGTAAATCCGGAGTAGGTCTAAATCTAAAAGGTGAAAATGAGTCTAAGGGGTTGTTTGTTTAGAATCATTCAACGCTGAATGTTGAACCGTTCAGCATTCAGCGTGTTTGTTTCTAACTTCTGAATAAAAACTGTGTTGAATGATTTAACACAACAGTGCTGAATGATTTAACACCAAGGAACATTATGAATTATTCATAACCATTATCAAACAGCATGTCACATTCAGAGTTAATTCATACAGAACATCTGAATCATTCAGTATTTGAATCGTTCAGCGCTTAATCATTCTGAAGTAAACAAACAACCCCTAAATCTGGATCTAGATGGATTCGATCCAGATGTGACATATTGTCATCCCTAATATATATGACACTGCAGTCGAAAATTAAATAAAAGTAATCGTGAAGATAAACATATAGTTATTTTTCTAAAGATTTTAAATTTATATATTATTTATTAAAAATTTGTTTATATTTTTTAAAATTTTATTTTTTTAAATTTATTCATTTTTAAAATTCAGTTTAAAAGTAATAGTGACGTGTCGAGTGAGTGAATGTGAATAAATAGAGTAAAAAGCGTCGAGGAAAACCTTTCCTCTATAACTTACATTTCCATCAGCTCAATCTGTTCCAGTTTTAAAGTTTTCAAAGCTTCCATGGCTTCTTCTTTCATTATATGCAAGCCTTTTCTTGGAGCTACTAATCCCAATTCTCATCTTTCCCCGTATATTCAAAGACTCTCTTCTTCCTCGCTTTGCATTGCGATCAAACCAAGAAAGTTTCGTAAGTTTTCTTATCCGAGCTTCAGATTTCGATTTCTGCATTTTGCTTCAAGTGTTTCTAACTATGAAACCCAACAGAAATACATGCAGCCGGTAGAACGTTCGGAAATCATTTTCGTGTTACAACTTTCGGAGAGTCTCATGGAGGTGGTCTTGGCTGTGTAGTTGATGGATGTCCTCCCAGGATTCCTCTCTCAGAAGCTGATCTTGATCGGAGGTACTCGATTTTGAACAGAGCTTGTTGTTTATTTTCATTTGTTCATATTTGGTTCGTGTTCGTTAAAAATTTTGTAAGTTTATGCTTCGTTTTTGCAGGACGGTAGGTCAAACCCGAAGCACTACCCCAAGGACGGAGACGGATACATGTAGAATATATTCCGGAGTTTCCGAAGGTTAAATCTCTTTTCACCATCACTGTCTTCTTCTTGTTTTTTCTGTGTAAATAGACATTTTTCATGGCACACAACTGCAGGAGTGACTACCGGAACACCGATCCATGTATTTGTACCAAAAACCGATGCGAGAGGAGATGTGAGTATTCTATGTTTTCTAGTCTAAAATGAAGTCGAATCGAGCAATCCTTCGGTTGTTCTTACAGGAGACATCATTCTGCTTACTGGATTACAAGGAAATGACAATGGCTTATCGGCCGTCTCATGCCGATTTCACTTACGACACGAAATACGGCGTCCGGGAGGTGCAGGTAAACACATTTCAGTATCAAATTCAACCCAAGTTTTGTAAAGAGATGCAGATCTGAGAATTTGGACATGTAATTGAAGGGAGGTGGGAGATCATCGGCAAGGGAAACCATAGGAAGAGTTATCCCCGGTGCTATCGCTAAGAAAATACTAAAGCAATTTTCAGGAACCGAGGTATGTTTCAAGTTGGTGCATGGGGAAAACCGTAGGAAAGAGTTGTCCCTGTTAACGTACGTTTTTTTGTCTTGTCTTTCAGGTTCTTGCCTATGTCTCACAAGTACATCAGGTTGTACTTCCAGATGGTTTAGTTGACCATGACACTGTAACTCTCGACCAGGTTCTTGCCTCTCGTTTGATTTTGCAAATTTTTACTGGTTGTAAATGAACAAACAGAAGAATAGGACTAAATGGAACAAACAAAAAACACCCAAAAGCAAGGAGTCCAAGAAAGAAATAAAGAACCCAAATCAGATCTAGTCCAAAAATCAACAAGGAAAGCTTGAAATAAACTAACCAACATGAACAAGAGTGTATTTGGTTCATTTATGTTCACAAATAAGCGATTTGTTTATAAACTCGTTTATCTAGTTTTACTTTTATTTTTATTATTTTACATTTTAAATAATGGTAATAGTATAGTTTAAATTGAATAACGGTGAATTTTGAAGTTTAAATTATAAAGTCTAAAGAACTTAGAGACCAATAGTGTAGTTTTACCATTTTTCAAAACATATAAATGGATATGTTTGGGTCAAAATGTTGATGAATATATAAACGAACATTTTCTTGAACGTTAAATGAATCGAATATGAATTGAAGATAAACATCTCCACAAATATGCAAACAAACGTGAATACACTTTATTAGTTTTAAGTTTGATTTATTTACACACCTATTCGTTCGTCTTCTTTGACCAAATTCATTGCAGCCATTATCTAATGATTGTCGACTACATTGTTGTCAGATAGAGAACAGTATCGTACGGTGTCCGAATCCAGAATACACCGAGAAAATGATGGTTGCTATAGATGCTGTGCGAGCAAGAGGCGATTCTATCGGCGGTGTTCTCACATGCATAGTGAAGATGTCCCACACATTCGTATTCGGTTTAGAGTTTAGAATTTAAGGTCTAAATTTAGGACTGAAATACAATATTCTAATATGTCAGGGGCTTGGTTCACCGGTTTTCGATAAGCTCGAGGCCGAGCTTGAGGCTTTAATGTCGGTACCTACAATCAAAGGCTTTGAAATTGGAAGTGGATTTGCAGGTAATGGTCGTGTTGTAATTTTTTAGCTTAGTTGCATGCATGGTGAGCCGAAATGGATCTCCGGTCCGCCTCCGACGGTAAGTTTGTTCTTAGTGGTGGCCGGTAAAATCCTTTGCAGATACTTTTCTGACGGGTAACGAGCACAATGACGAGTTCTTCACCGATGAACATGGAAGAATAAGGACACGAACAAATCGCTCCGGTGGTATATAGGTACTTGTCTTATTTATTATTTACATTGTTTTAACATTTTTTTTGAAAAAATTATATTTAATATTAATATTCGACATATATTCAAATATATAATGTAAAAAAAATCTTCGAATATTTGGAAATATTCAAATATTTATATTCAACACACTAGAATATAAGTTATTTTTGTTCTCCAATATGTTATTGTCCCAAATCCACGAGTATTATGATACTAAAATGTTGACCGACAGGGTAGAATCTCCAATGGGGAAATTATAAGCATGAGAGTAGCTTTGAAGCCAAGGTGATTTTCCCGATAAATCACCCTCAGCCTCTTATTTTCCTGTCAGCCATCGTTCAGACTATATTTTCTGATCTAACCCCCTTTGCAGTAAGGCGCACTCCCTGCAACGCGCTTTACGCTGGTCTTGCATCACGTTAGGTAAGACGCGCCCCCTGTATCGCGTCTTATGCTGACATAGATACACGTGGATAAAGCGCGGCCCCTGAGGCGCGCCTTATGCCACGTAGGGGTATAGCGCGGTGCAGGGGTTGCGTTTTTACTTTAATTTTGACACAATTATGTAAGACGCAGTGTAAGTACCGCACATTCGCTTTAACTCAGATACAATTATGTAAGGCGCAGTGTAGGTACCGCACCTTCTCGGCTATAAATACCCCTCTACCCCGTAAACTCTATCATAGTTTTCTCTCAACCGAAAAATTAATATAACAATTCTCTCAACCAGTAAATAACATCCGTCAATCCTCTTATATTGATTCAGAAGTTCATTCGATTTTTCGTTATAAGGTAATTTTGTTATAATTTTTTTATTATAATTATTGTTTATTATGATTATTTGAAAAAAATATTATATTAATTGTTTTCAATTAATTTTTTTGTAAAATTGGAAAGCGGGAGCATACGTCAAAATATTTTTGCGGTACAAGTAATAATATAAAATTATATTATTTAAATTATTTACGTTATTGTGTAAAAAAAATTTCCTTATATGTTAATTCATATATTATTTATTTAATTAGGCTTGTTTCAGGTTTATTTGTTACATATATAAGATTGTTTCACTTTCAAATTCTAAGAATGATGTGAATTTCAACTATTGTTTAATATGATGGAAAAACTCGGGAAGATGAAACCGGCGTTATTTTCATATCAAATCATTATGTTAAAATATCCTTCAAGAAAAAACATTAACTCTTGAGGAGCTGATAACGAAAATTTCAAGAAAGGTTCATGTTGGAAGTACTAGAAGAATGTCGTCGCTTCAGTACAGATTTCCAACATATTTGTTGCCATTAACTTATACAGCGTTCGAACTATCAAACAATGATGTTGAAATGATGATTGATTCTCAAAATAATTATTCAGACGTCGTTATGGAGATGTATGCAAAGTTTGTTGAAGTGTGGGCTGTTTGGGGTCTGTCATTAAGCTCCCACTATGGGCTAGTTGAACAATCTGATCAAGTTGACAGCCCGACTACAGTAATATGTAATGATTTTAATCCCATAATGGGAAATCCGCATCATGGTGCCGTCGCATCAACTTCAATGAAGAAACATTCATCATCAACTCCTTACGATATGTACCGAGGTGGAACAATCCGTATGACAACATCGCGTCCAGTTCAAGGGGAAGGCATTCATCTGCAAATTTCTTTGACCTTAATATGGAGATGTCATCGACGCAACAATCAGTGTATTTTCCATTTGATTTTCCATTTGACACGATAGTTTCAAGCTCTAGGGGGAGGCGTTCGACTGCGAGTTTTTTCGATCTCAATGTTGATATGCCTTATAGTTCAAGGGGAAGGCGTGCAAGTAGTAGGTTCTTCGACCTAAATGTGGAGAGGATGGAGGAATCATCATCTCCACCAGAAGAACCGCTTCGTGAGCCTGGTGTGGATGGTGTTGAAACTGGACTATTCATTCACCCATAATCACCGCAATTAAACTTCGATGATGATGATGATGATGTAGACGAAGTTCCCTCAAATGTGGCACAAACTGACCTTCCAGCACACATTTATGAAGCTGATTATGGTGCAATGTACGGGTCAGAATTTATGGATATGCCTCATCTCGGTGATTATGGATATTAGTCATCAATAAATAATGGTGAGTTATCTTTAGGGATGAAGTTTTCATGCAAAGAAAAAAGCGATGATGGCTATAAAAAATTATAATATCGGTAATTCTGTTCAATCCAGAGTCGAACGCTCCACGACAGAAAAATATGTATGCCACTGTGCCCGATGCAAAAACGGATTCAATTGGATGGTTCGTGTATCGAAGAGAAAGAGTAAAAACAATAGATGAGAACTAACAGTATACAACGGTCCTCACACATGTTGTGCTCAACCAAGATCATCTCAACTTGGACTTTGAAGTGATCTGCCAAGCTATCATTCCCATGGTAAAAGCAAGCTCTTATATAGCTGTTGATGTGTTGATTTCAGCTATACAATCGCAGTATGGGTACACTGTCTCCTATAAAAAAAGCTTGGTTGGCAAAACAAAATGCCATTGTCAAACTTCATGGCGAATGGGATGCATCTTACAACGAACTTCCAAGTTGGTTTAGGCTAGTGCGGAGGTTGAATCATGGGACAATTGTGGACTTCGAAACCTCCTATGCATACCATAATGATCGAGTTATTCGCGATCGATGTCAATTATACCGGGGTTTTTAGACTTACCCACAGTGTGTTAATGCTGTCAAATACTACAAGCCTGTGGTCCAGATCGACGAGACTTTTTTGTATGAAAAATACAAACAAGTTTTATTATTGGCAGTTGTCCAAGATGGTAATCGCAATATTCTTTCAGTTGCTTTTGCTCTTGTTGAAGGAGAAGATACAAATTCTTGGGTTTTTTCCTCTGAAACTTACGTGCACATGTTATCACGAGGGAAAAAATATGTGTCATTTCAGATCGCAGAACTGTGATCAAAGCATCAATGGAGTCTTTGGGTAAAGAAATGAGGAAGGATACGATTACATCAGCCTCATCGATAAAGAAATGTGGATAAACGCATATGATGGTGGATATCGATATGGACACATGACGACCAACTTGGCTGAGGTAATCAATTTGACCTTAAATGGTGCACGTCACTTACTTGTAGCGGCTTTGGTATTAACTATATATTTTCGTTTGGGGCATTTTTTGCGAAGCTCGGGGGACAAGCTCAAACCTGGATGTAAGGCGATCTTGTCTACCACTCTAGATTAGTTGCAGATCTACAAAAAAAATTGTTGCATCAAATGGAAAGTCTGTAACAAGCTTCTCTAGAACACATTCATTGTTTCGTGTCACAGAGTTGCTGCGACCTTTTCAAGGGATTGAAGTTGTGTTGTTAAGAGTAAATTTACGGGACAGAACGTGCGACTGCGGGTTTTTTCAAGGTCTGAAGTATCCATACTCTCATGTGATAGCAGCTTGCTCGCATTTCCTTCAAGACTATAATCGTTTTGTGGATCTCATATACCTATTATCAGAAGTTTTTAAGGTATACATATTTGAGTTCCCCCCATAGGTAATGACAAAGACCCTGATGGGGTTCAGAATTGGGTTCCGATTGTACCAAATCCAAGTTTATTGAGAGTGCGTGGTCGTTCAAAATCCACTCGAATTCATTGTGATATGGATATTCGATAAACATATAGACACGACAAAAAATGTGGGCATTGTTGAAACTCAGGACACACTAGGAGAACATGTCCACTTCTGTTGTCATCAAGTAACAATGAATGAGGAACTGATGTAATTGTTTATCAAATAATAATTCTTATACTTCAAATTGAATTTACTTAAAGTTAATGTCATTCGATATGAAGATTAAAAAAACGATACAAGAAAACGAGATTGGATGTTGACGTTATATGTGATTATAATAAAAGAGATAATAAGTAAGAAACTTAAAAAATTTATCGAACACAATTATTAAATTTTATCAAACTAATAGCAATTTGGTATTTGAATATAATTTTAAAAACAAGAAACTTACAATAAGTATTAAATGGTAAATAATAACCAAATTACAATAATTGATATAAAATGGTAATAAACAAAAATATATTAACAAAAAATCCAACAATATTAACAAAATAAATTTAAAAAATCCAATCAAATTAACAAAATAAAGTAAGTATTAAATGATAAATAAAAAAAACTACAATAAAAATAGTTCAATAAACAACTAAATACAAATATAATAAAATATCAAAATCTATCGATGTCTGCGGTGCGAATGTGTTCCGCAGGGCGGTGACTGTCTGTCTCGAGGAGGATTTCCGCATATCATTGGTTCTGACTCCTCGCTGTCATCATCACCATCATCGTCATCGTCGTCATGACCAGATACATTTTGTTGATGAGGAACTGATGACGATGTAGCACCTCCATAGAATAAGGACCCTAGAGGTGTACGACTGACTATCCCACCGGCCTGCGAAAACTGGGAAAACTCATAAAACACAGACATCGATGAGTGTGAAAACTGTATAGGAGTTGTCTGTGCAGCGACCATAGGTGATGAGGTTGCACCTGCCAAATAACCAGCATATTAACCCCAAGTCGGATCTGCAAACATAGACCCATAATATCCTTCAGGAGGGGTCATATAACTCTATGACGGTGGCGGCGGTGGGGTCATAAAACAGGTTACAGTGACGGAAGCGACATCTAGTAAGGGAAATGCGATAGAGGCATCATATATGGTTGCGGTATGTAAGTCGCTACAGACGGTGACTGTTGTGAAGGTCCTACTGGTGCAGCTGAGGACGAACCGGAAGCACCTACTCTCCTTCCATGAGTCGGGGGACGATGGTGCTTTGACGATGAACGTCTCTGTCGATGTCGCTGAAAGGTCCGCCCTCGTGCATCCTTGAAAAGTAGAAACGATTTCCCGTTAATGTTGAACCACTCATAATAATCATCAGCAACCGTCAAGAGGTCATCATAAATGGACTCTCTATGGGGAAGACGTGTACTTTACTCGTTATTGAACCACGTTAATTTCTCTTTATATTAAAGAGAAATCAATTCTTCTTTCAGTTGATTCGAATGAATCTAAATAAAAGAATTGAGAGAAGAAAAGAAGAAAAATTGTTCAATGAAAGATGGAGATCGATAGTAACAAATAGACTTTAACATGTCATAACAATTTATTTTAACGATAGCGGATGATAATGATCATAATAACATCGAACTAAAAGGTTCAATAAGTTTATTATAAATTTGAAAAGTTTGGCAACCTTAATACAAGTAATCTAGAACTTTGGACTACCAGTGTATTATAGCCAAATATAAAAGAGGGTGGCAACAACAAACAGGGAGCTGAGTGACAGCGTTGGCGTGCATAACTGAGCTAGACGTTGAGCGTGTTGATTTCACCCCCAAACCTAATGACAAACACCCCAAGCAACAACAAACCTAAACTTTTATCTGTTTCCATTGATTAGGAAACTCATAGTATTACCAGTACATTTTTATTTTCCTCCCAAAAAAACTTACAAAAAAATAACATGCCACTTCGATTAACTGAGGGGCATTTTAAAATCCATTCTTTTTAGTTTCTGGTCACTACGGTGGTTTAAATTTCTGGGTTAGCTCTGTTTTTTTTCCATTTGAGTCTTTTATATGTTCTTATGGGGATTTGCTCTTCATATAGGCTTTGCTTGTTGCCTTGCTAAAAGGGTTTGTCTTGGATTTTGTGGAGGTTTACACGGGGAGTGGCTCTTGGGGCATTGTCTTGTAATCTTTTGGGGGTTCTAAAAGGCTAAAACATATAAAAATCTCATCTTTTTTTTTAAAAAAAAAAAGAAAAAATTGGATCTCCATGAATACATTCTGGTTGATTCCTCAGATTTTAACTTTGTGGGTGGTATTATTATTGATCCCTTTTTGCATTTATTCCCATGCTTTTTAAAAAAGTTCTAAAGATTGATGCTTGTTGTCTACCGTTTTGGTGATGTATTCAACTGTTACCAAGATGCTGTTTTCTCATTGCAGGATTCCCAGATTTCAACTTGAATTTTTTTTTTGAAACTTTATATTGATTAGTGTACTCAGATTGGTGCTTGCGGGAATTATTTAGTGTAATGAGTCTGTCATTTATGTCCCCCCTAAGCTGACTCGGTGCCACCGGACTCGGTGGGGTTTGCCATCAACAAAGTAAACAACTGTTTCTCATGGCTCTCTTTTCTCAAATTATTACTTAAAAATCTCCTCTTGCCATTTATATATTTGTTAAATTGTTAAAAAAAATAATCTTGAATCACATAAAGCCTGGTTGAACTCAGCAACTCGGTCCCCACATTTGGGGTATATTCCTTTACTGTTTCTGGCAAGTTTTTCTCGATTTGGGGTTATGTACTTGTCATTGCATATTATGTGAGTTGATGATTGTGTGGTATCATTTTTCAGGTTTCAGTGGGAAAGGAGGAGATCGATCCTTTGGTTCGACAACATGAAGTTTATGAAGCTCGGGTCGAAGCCGGATACGTTTCGAAGCGACGGGAACAACGTGAGGTGAGATCTATCGGAGCCTTGTCGGCGTTGTCGAATAAACCGAAAGAACTATGTCTCCTATGTGTTGTTTGATGTATTTTCTATAAGAGCATTCAATGAAATCTCTTGCTTCTCTCATTCAGCTTTGTTGCTTTGACTCTTTGGACATAGCCTATGCATCAAGGCAGTGTTAATTCGGCTAATGCGAATTCAATTTAACTTTTGTTGAACAGGTTGATATACCATAGACAAGGCTTTGGTATAGGTTGCTGGTTTTGATAAAATCTAACTATTGTACCTCTGCAGTACCATACTCATGTTGTCAATTGTGTAGAGCGAGTCGAAGAGTTTCGGTTTTCGAATGTTAATCGGTTAAAAAGGAATCTGCAAATTGAACCACAACCTATATGGCACCTTTCTAATATCATCTTTATCCGGCCCTGAGTGAGTTATGAAAAACGCGGACGGTTTTACGCTTATTTACCTTTGTTCAGGTATGTGGCGACTGAGCTATCGACCGATATTGCAGTCACCGTAGGGGATGTTAAATTTTATCTGCACAAGGTATGCCTTTTCTTCCAGTTCGGGTAAAATTTTTGTTTATGGTCAAGTATCCATTGCATTATTATTGCTTAGATCGGTTAATTCGAGCAATCTAGACTCTGCTCTGCCCCCTTTTTTATCTTAAAAGTTTCATTTCAGTGTTCCGAGACTAATGGATGAACATATATGCAGTTTCCTCTTCTTTCGAAAAGTGTCCGCTTACAAAATTTGTTTGTAAGTGGTATGGAAGAAAACTGCGATGAGGTTCAGATTTCTGACATTCCCGGTGGTCCGGTTGCGTTCGAGATATGTGCCAAATTTTGTTATGGCATGACCGTCAACCTGAATGCTCACAACGTCGTTGCCACTCGATGCGCAGCTGAGTACTTAGGAATGTCTGAGACCATCGAAAAAGGGAACCTAATTTACAAGGTCGATGTATTTCTCAACTCAAGCATCTTCCACAGCTGGAAGGACTCGATCATTGTTCTTCAGACTACGAAATCTATGTTACCATTATCCGAGGAACTGAAAGTGGCCAGTTTTTGCGTTGATGCCATAGCTTCCAATGTTTGCATCGATGTTTCCAAGGTCGATTGGTCATACACTTATAACCGGAGGAAGTTACTGGAGGAAAATGGGAATGATCCAAACTGTAATGGTGTCAAAAGTCGTCCAGTGCCAAAGGATTGGTGGGTTGAGGATCTGTGTGAACTTGAAATCGATCTATATAAGCGTGTTATAACAAGTATTAAAACCAAAGGAGTACTGTCCCATGATGTGATCGGAGAAGCTTTGAAAGCTTATTCTTACGAAAGGTTGCGAGGTGTTAGTAAAGGTGTATTCTGCTCTGGGGATGTCGGAAAGTATCGATCGATGGTTGATACAATGGTCTGGTTGTTGCCTGCAGAGAAAGGAAGTGTATCTTGCAGTTTCTTGCTGAAACTGTTGAAAGCGGCAATCGTAGCTGACTCGGGAAACATGGTTAGGGAACAGCTGCGGAGACGAATAGGACAACAGCTGGAGGAAGCTTCCCTGAACAATCTTTTGATAAGAGCAGCAGAAGGGGAAGATGTAATGTACGATGTCGATACGGTGCAGAAAATATTGAAAGAGTTCCTAATGCAAGAACAGACTGCCGAATTCGAATCAGATGAATACGAGATTCGGGAAATACGAAGACCTGGAATCTTAACAGATGCTTCCAAGTTGATTGTGGCAAAGTTGATGGATGCATACCTTGGGGAAATCGCGAAGGATCCCAACTTACCCTTGTCAAAGTTTGTAGACCTCGCCGAAACGGTGTCTTACATATCTCGGCCTTCTCATGACAGGCTTTATCGAGCCATCGACATGTATCTTAAGGTGATAATTCGGCGAAACTCGTATTTTCCGATGAATAGTAAATCGGTATTCACATTATACTTGCAACTGTTGTTGTTACGAAGGTAAACAAGTTTGGTTAACTTCCGACTTTGTCTTGTATATAAACTTCGATGCAGGAGCACCCATCGATCGGCAAGGGCGAGAGAAAAAGAATATGCAAGTTAATGGACTGCAAGAGACTATCAGCTGATGCATGTAAGCATGCTGTGCATAACGAAAGGCTCCCGTTGCGTGTAGTCATTCAAGTTCTCTTTGTCGAGCAAACCCGGGCCGCTGCCGCTTCATCGGGCAGTAGCACTCCTGACTTACCCAAAGCCCTGAAGAATCCGAATAGCGGGCCTCATAGGAGCTCGAGATCAGCAGCAACCGATCCAGAGGAAGAGTGGGATGCAGTGGCTGCATCCAAGGAGCTCAAGGCCCTGAGAGCCGAACTAGCTGCCTTAAGGTTGAGCAATGGGATAGGAGTGAGTACGGAAAACGGCCTCGACCAGGCCGCCATTCGTAAAACGAAAGTTTCGATGAAGTCGAAGAGGATGTTTATGAAGATATGGTCGAGCAAAGCAGCCCGGGGTGAGCACGGCGGTTCGGATTTGTCGCAAAGCCTTGGTTCTGCCCAACCTGAAGAACCGAAGTCAACGCCTTCCAGAAATAGGAGGCTTTCGGTTTCTTAGAAAGTTAAGTTGCAATGTTAGTACTTTGAAATATTTTTTTAATTTTGTATGATTTAAAAATTAGTTGAGATTAACCGTAAAAAATAAGAAGATATATATCAATTATAATTCATAACAACAATGGAACTTCTCTTATAGAATATTTATTTATCTTTCAACTCTAATACATAAAATTTTTTTTAATACAGGTAAATTACACGTTTACTCACTGAACTTTACTCTCTCTTCTATATCACTCATTGTACTTTTAATTTTTTCAATATACTCACTGAACTTTATAGAATGAATTTTTTGGTCACTCGACCGTTTTTTCTCTAACGATTGAATAACGTGAAATGATTTAATATTAAATAGGCCACGTCGATTGATATCAAATAATAATTACTAATATTTAATTCCAACAATATTTTAAAATAAAATAAAATTAACTAAACCCTAATCCCAATCTTCAATCCGAACTCTAACCTAACCTCAAACCTTCTCATTTGATTGTATTATTCTTCTTCTTGTGTTTTGAAGGAAGGAAGTTTTGGGAGATTGTGAAAGAAGAAGAGAAGGAATTGTTGGGGGATCATTAGAAGGAGGATTTCATCTCGTATCTAAAGGTTTTTCTCGTGCTAATTCTATTATCTAAGGGGTTTTTTTTTTCTCTTGATTACTCTTTTCAATCTTCTTTCTCTTCTTCTTTGTCAATACCCCAAGGATTCCTTCCTTCTTTGTCAATCGCAAACACGATGGATGGTTGAACTGACAATACATTTTGTTTGTCTGCTTCATTCCTCTTCGTTTTCTGTTACATAAAATTTAAGAAGAAGAAGAACAAAGATTAAATGAGAATTTTTTTTAAGGAATTAAAAGGACGTCGTTTTGATGTTGGTTGCCATGTCATAACGTTGTTAGAAAGTTAATAGGTGAATGATACAAAAAATTCAATCTATAAAGTTTAATGAGTAAATTGAAAAATTAAAAATATAGTCAGCGAAATATGAAAGAAAATAAAATTTAATGAGAAAGCATATAATTTACCCTTTTAATATATATAACCTTGTTTTCCACATATATCCAGTCAAAAGGAGACATGATTAAACTGTGATGCGGCAAACAATTTAGGCTAATGTCACAATGTAAGAGCCTATCCAATCAAACAAAAATCTAGCGGTAAAATTTTGTCTTTAGTCCACATACTATGCATAAATCATAGATTTAGTTCATATATTCTAATTTGATCAATTTTAATTATTGCATCTTTATAATTTTAAAATTAACTAAAATTGTATACGAATTATATGTTTGAAATATGTGAATTTTAAATAACCAAATAAAGAAATGTGAACTCTATAATTAAGCGTTTAAAAGAACATATAACAAAATTTAACTTTAAAAATACAAGGAGTAATAAAAGAATTTGACCAAAACCGGCTGTTAACTTCCAAAGTTTCCATCTGGCATGTACCTTTACATGTACCGTTTATCTCAAAGACAAAAAAACAAAACCAGTCAAATCTGTTCTCAGCTGCGTTTATTTCAATGAATATTAGCTAATTTTATCCCTCAAATTATATCTTTTTTCTTTAATATAATTTAATGGAATTAAGAAGCATTCCTGTGACCAAACCAGATTTTAAGTATTTTGTAATTAAGAACAAGATTTGGTGAAAGTAATTTAAGAACCTTGTATTATAGTGTGAAGTGCATTTAAGTCATTTTAAGGGTAAATTACAAATTTGGTAACTGAACTTTTATATGATTCCTATTTTACTCACCGTACTTTCAAAATTTTCAATTTGCTCACTCAACTTTATAGATTGAGTTTTTTTGGTCACTCTGCCATTAAATCTCTCACGCCATTATGACGTGGCTTAGAGAAATAATTTTTAATCGTTAAAAGCCACGGATGCGATGACAGGTCAAAAAAAATAAAAGGTAAATAACAAATTTGATAATTGAACTTTCATGTGATTTCTATTTTACTCACTCAACTTTATAGATTGAGCTTTTTTTGTCACTCGGCTGTTAAATTTCTCATCGCCAATGATCGTCCATCGCTGCCCTCGTAACATCTTCAATACCGGGTTAGTGACCAAAGTGTGAAATTTTAAGAATTTAGTGATCAAATTAAATAAATTGAAAAGTGAAGGAATTAATTGAAAGATGTTGGTGAAGGATGAATTAATAAGTGAATAAGAAGTAAAAGGGCAAATGGGTCTTTGAATAAGGAAATAATTAAATAAGAATTAATGGGTATTATAATACTCATTTGTAGCATGTTTGGAAACAAAGTTTCGAGACAATTCTCATCTTCTTCATATTCTTCTCCCAAACGTGAAGCACCCAAGCTCAAGGTAAGTTTGATTTCTTTTGGTTAATATTTCAAATTCAAGCATGGTTTTGATTCATGAAGCTTTAGGAAACAAGATGGAAGGAAAAAGGGACTTAGAAACTCAAAGAGTTTTGAGTTATGGAAGATTAAAGAGAATGGGTTTCAAAGTGAAATTTTGAATAAGAGGGTTTAAATGAATTTGGAAGTTGGATTTGACTTGTCATCAATCTAGTTAAGACATAAGAAGTCTAGAATTGAATTTAGATCATGTTGAAATTTGAGTATAATTCTTGAATTTCATAAAGAGGAGATGATACTGAGGTTAAAGATGGATAAATGAATAATAGTGAGGCTAAACATGTGTATGTATGTTAGGATTATTAAAGGGGAGGAAATATAAAGTATTGAGATGAAAAGAAGTAATTTTCGTACTAAAAATGTGAACTCTGGGCAGGGGTATCGATACCCATTCAACAGGTACTGATACCTACTTTAAATAAGCAATGAAATTACCTTTCCTTTAGTTTAAGAAATGAAAGTTTAAGATATGTTATTAGTATACTAATTTGTATCAATGTATTATTATGTAGACGTAATCCTGTTCCGGAACAATCGAAGGATTAGAATCGAGTCAAAGTAAGCAAAGCTAAGGTGAGTGCATATACTAGATAGAATTGTATGGCGATAAGACTTGTGATAAGTCTATCTCTTATAGTTGAATTATGATTTCATAGCCATGTACATGCATAATTCATACATGTTTTAATATGATATAATATGAATGAATATCGTTATAAGAGAATCAATTCAGGTATGTGAAATAATGGAAATGATCATATGTGTACATGTGAAGTGAAATATGTGTTTATATGAAAAGTGATTAAAAAGATATGAAAATGAGAAATGTATTCATATTTAAGCCCATGTTATTTAATATGAGAGTTGTAGATATAATTGGCATGCCAAGAGTCGAGGGATATACAGTGGTCCTTCGGGACATATACAGTGGTCTTTTGGGACAAATATTCAGTGCCCCTAGTGGGAATTTATACGAGCTGTGATAACAGCATATGTGCACAACCTCAGTGTACTCGCGTACCTTCTATTCACAATAATGTACATGGGCAATCCAAAGATAAATTGGAGTGAAATTTGCTTAAGAAGATAAATTTCATGTGTGCATGATATGATCATATACATTGTAGTGTAATGGATACATGCAAGTTATAATGTCACGATCGAATGGTAAGAGTGCATGTTTCATAAATTCATTGTTACATATTTTATTATGTCTCACTAAGTCTATGACTTGGCGTGTAAGTGATTTACACGTAGGTACCAAGAATCAAGAATAGCATAAATAGGAGTGGCAAGAACAGCAACACTGCTAGAAGATCAGATCATAAGTAATTGATAAAGTATGTAGTTTGATTGTGTATAGTATGTTGGCATGTAAGAAACGTTTTAGTATGAACATTCTAATGTTTTAACGTATATATGTAAATGGTAATTTCGTATAGTGATGAAAGGTTAAATTTTAAGAGTTTATGTATATTTTACGGAAGTACTGTACAAGGGTATCGGTACCCTGGCAGCAATCTGGAAAAATTTTAGTTCTAGGTATTGTTCACGACACTGTTCATACCATATAGTACTGTTCATAAATACGTTTTTGCCTCAAAATTTTATAACAAACATTATTTAATAGTATATTATCGTATTTTCTTAAAATAAATTCAAATATTTTGTTATTTGGTAAGAATATTGTTTTAAAAAGTCAATGTGACATCTCGGACTCGTATTCGGGTCGGGTACGGGTTGGGGGTGTTACATTCCTCATCGTCGTTGGACTATGATCGTCACCGCTAATACCGGTGTGAGAACCAGGCCACCGCGACCAAAACCCTAGTGGTCGATCGTCAAGGCTCCCCGTCGTTCGTCGTATAGAACCCGTCGAAGGTTCGTTGGGAAACCAAAACTTCATATTGGTTTTCGTCGATTTTTAACCACCTTGGCCGTCCGCTCGTCTCACCGCTGCAACTGATGAAGTCCTCTCCTCTTTCCGACCAAAACCCAATCGATTTGCCCTCTCATCGTCGCTTCCTAAGTCCGAATCTATTTTTTGACCACCCCGCGTCTGTTCGTCTTACCCCAGTCAAAAACTCAATCTATAAAGTTAAGTGAGCAAAATTGAAAATTTTGAAAGTATAGTGAGTAAAGATTCATATGAAACTTCAGTTATCAAATTTGTAATATGGAAATCTGATGTGGCATGTTCAATATTAAAATATTCCACGTCAACGGGTTGTTAGTGATATAACGGTGGAGTTACCAAAAAAAGTTCAATCCATAAAGTTGAGTGAGTAAATTGAAATTTTTGGAAGTACGGAGAGTGAAATAGGAATCGTATGAAAGTTTAGTCACCAAATTTGTAATTTACCCTTTCTAATGAACGAAAAAGTCATTGTACGATAGAGAAAACGAGTAAATAAAGTAATAAACATTTTAATCGTGGATTTAACTAAATGATGTGTTATTGGTTTAAAATATGAGGGTGATATGTTCATTTTACGCATTATAGTTTTAAAAAATTGAATCGGTACATCTTTAATATAATTAGGGATGGCAATTTAATTTCAATATGACAATCTCGACTCGATCTGATTGATAGGATCATATTTTTTTAAAAAAAAGTTTGGTTTGAGACGTGTCAATTTTTTAAGGGGTGAGGTCGGGTTGGGTTCAGGTAGAGGGTGAAAAAACTTCAACCCGATCGGATTCGAGGATAATAGTGTAATTTATTAAAAAAGTATTTTTAAATTAAATCCTTTATTTATGACGAATCGGGTCGGATTTATACTCTAAAAAACCGGGTTGAGTCAGAGTCGGGTAGCGGATATAAAATTTTTGAGTTTATTCGGATCAGATGTAGGATATCAAATTTTTGGATTGGGTCTTGTTGGCCAAATGTCCGACCCTAACTGGCTCGTTACCAACCCTAAATATAACGTATAGAATAACTCCTGAATTTTTATCCGTCATTTTATCATTTTCACTCATTTTGTATTACATTTTCGCATCAATTTAGCACTGAAATTATTTACTTGCATCATCTAAACCCTAAACTTAACTATCTAAAATCATAAACCCTAAACAATATTAAATATTTTAACTATTGATATAGTTAAACAATTTCAAAAGTTAAATTGATGCGAAAATACAATATGAACAAAAATAATAAATTAAATCTACGGCGGAGACAAACATAACCCTTAAACCTTGACGATTTAAATTTGAATTTAAAATACCTTTGTTTAGATAAATAATTTGAGTTTAAAGAATCTACAAAAAAATTACAAAAAGGTCAAGAAAAAACTGACCCTAAAATTAATCTGGTCCAAACCCACGCCCCAAACCTCATTTGTCCTTCGATTCCATGGAAGGGACACTTGGATATTAAATGAACAACTTTTGTGTGCTGTGAAAGGAAAAGCACCAGACCTGAAAACGTCACCCCTCCCCCACCTCAACGTAACGCCTTCTTTTCAAAATAAGTTTAACCCACCAACTCTCTTCCCCATTAGTAATTATGTGATGAATTTGATTTATAATGTCATTTATGATTTAATAAATAAAATTTATAAATTTTAAAATAATTACTCATTTTATTTATAATATAGAAAAAAGGTAAAGATTTATTTTTTTAAAAAAAATAGACAAATATTATTAATTAAGACTATAAGTGATATAATAAATCAAATTCATTTAAAAAATTTTCTTTTTTGATAGTGACTCGAAATCGATTAATAACATAAATTTTAATTATATTAAAATAATTAATATTCAAATTAAATTTTTATACGAAGAATACTAATATTTGCGATTCTAAAATTTTTAATGATTAATTTATTGCCTGGCCAATGGTTATTGATTAGAACCTCATTCTTCGTCCAACAAAACAAAAAATTAATTGATTTGATTTGGTTGTGACATTGAGTGAGACATATTTGTTGTGTTGAATTTACTATGTTTTGATGTGGACCGAGCCTGAGTAAGGTTGGGATAAAGAAGCCACCATGGTCGAGGACCCGAGGGGTGGGTATGGGTGATAAAACGACTAATTTAGTTAATCGAATTTTTTTCATTAATAGTTAATCGAATTGATTTTTTTAAAAAAATTAATCGAATCGAACTAAGTTATATTAATTGATCGGTTAACCGAAATTTATGAATAATATATAAATAATATATTATATTAAATATTTAATTTTATTCAGTTAATTCGGTAAAAACCGAGTTCAAACACCCTAAAACTATAAAATATATATACATATATATATATATTATATATTTAATAATTTGGTTAATTAACCAAAACCGAAATTAGAAAAAAAAAATCATTAATCGTTAACTGACCAAACCCAAAATTAATTGATCGAAAATTTGGTTCGGTAGGTTAATTCAGTTTAACCGAACAGTGAACACCCATAGGGTGGGTGATTAAGACTTCAATGTGTCAATCCAGAAAAATTATTAGATGGACTCGGTTCAACACATCACTCATACTCCTCGTCAATAATGTTTGTCTATTTTTTAAAAGTGAATTTCTACATCTTTTTTACATATAAATAAAAAAAATGAATAATTATTTTAAAAATATTTTCAAATTTATAAATTTTATTCACTGAGATCATAAATAACATAATAAATCGAATCAGCAAAAGTTTATCGTCGGTCGATTTAAGCGTCCTCGTAGACTCATAGTCATCTTCGTCCTTCTCACATCACGCGCACGCCTTCCACTTCCTTCCTAGTTTCCGCGCTTTGTAAGTACAGCCCACTTCGATTCTATCTTCTCCTTACATTAACCTTATCCCAATCTAACTTGTTAACTGTCTTTTATGTTCGGGAACAACGGTTTAGTTGGTTAATTAAACCCATTTAACCGATCTAAAAATTAATTATATTTTCTTATTATATCTTTGAAAAATAATCTTCAAAAATTGTCAGCATTCCGTCATTCAAGCTTTTCAGATAAATCCATCCACTTACCAAAGTTTCAAAGAATTCATGTCCTTCATGCACAAGTTCGACCTCTGAGCCTACTTCATAGGTTCATATATAGAGGCGGAACTAAAAATTTATTAAAACGAGGTCAGAAAAATAGAGTTAGTCTAATAATATCAACTGATCAATGATCACATAATAATATTTAATTTTTTTCGATCGAGGGATCTGATAAAACTTATTTTATTTATTTCTTATATGTATATTAACAAAAAGTTGGCAGGGGCCAGGACACTCCCGGCTCTGCGAAGTTCAATCTCTTTCCATATAACTTATAAAAACGAAATTCAAGATATAATGACTATATTTATTTCTGTTGATTTTCGAATAGTTATGTGATCCAATGTTTAATACCACTAATTAGAAGTACTATAAATACTCGATAGTTATGACGGAGAAGATGATGAGGCCTTTATAACCTCAATATACAATCTTCTCTTTTTTTGAGTAACTATAATTACAAAATAAACATCGATTATAATCATTTTTTTCATCGATTCTGATTATTTATCTAAATTAGAATGAATAAATTGTTAATAAACTATACGAGAACTTTATTCTCATCAATAAATAAATTTATTTGTGTTATGATGTAGTTATATTTATTCAGAATTTAAACATTATATTAATGTATATGATATAATATTTATGAATTTATGTGAAATAAAAACATTGAAGACAAGGAAAGAATCTACGGTCATAGACATTCACGACACAGAATCCAACGGCTAAGCCAGCTGTCTCGTACATCTCCCCAATCTTTCCCATCCGCGGAGACCCGGAGCCGCCTCTCTCCACCCATTTCTTTGGAACCCCCAAATCCCCACCAAAAACACTATATCATCATTACTTCCCCCAAATTCCAAGCTAACCATGGTTACATATCGAAAGATAAAAAGTTAACCATGGTTACCTAGCCATATCAAATATCATCAATTTAGGCTACTTCTTCCCAAGTCCATGTACCCTTTAGAATTTTGTAATTTAGTCTCTCTACTTGTCTATTCTAACAATTAAGTCCACCGATAACAATGTTAACCGACTTTTGTTAAATTTGAATGTGTTATTCAAGGGAAAAGTTCGTATATCGGATTAATGTAATTTTATCATTGTATTAATTTATAATTTTATAAAGATTTCAATTCATCAAGTGATTTCATTGACAAAAAAGAATGTTGATCTCCCTACAAGTTTTGAATTCAAGCAGCAACGTTTGTAATGTATGTATATGTTGCATTGTCAACAGATTAAAAAAATTTAAACAAATGATACCTTATAATTATGGCAGACTGTTAAAAAAACTTTATAAAATTTTGATCATAACTGTAGTATTTTTGGACAGTCAAAATATATTTTTATGGTATATTAACTTATCATTTTAAGAAAGATCTATATGCAATTTTACTATTTTAGGATGATTAAGACTCTGGCCACTTTTTTAGCTTCACCTGATGTTATCAACTGAAGTTTAACTTCTAAATCATTTTTATATATCAAAATAACGACCAAAAGACAAGTAAAGGACCAAATTTTAAAATTGAAAATAGTAAAGGGGCTAAAGTAATATTAAACCCATCAATTCGTTACCTACAGTTCTCCACACGACTCTCTCTTTCCTATATATTAGCCTGGTTACCTGCCCTTTGTTTCTTGGCTTCTTCAATCTTTCCTTTCCCATCAATCTTCTCAACCCAGAAAAACCCATTTTTATTCCTTATTCTTCTTCTTGTGCTGAAAGGTCTCTCAAAATGAGTTGCAATGGCTGCAGAGTTCTACGAAAAGGATGCAGTGAAAATTGCATGCTTAGACAAAGCTTGCAATGTATAGACAATCCTCGAGCACAAGCACACGCCACCGTCTTCGTCGCCAAGTTCTTTGGCCGCGCCGGCCTTATGTCCTTTCTCTCCTCCGTCGCCGCCCCTCAAAGACCTGGTAATTCCATTTATCATACTTTTTTAAGTCCTTGAAACGATGGATCATTGCTTTTTTTTTGGCGGGGGGGGGTTCCTTTGATATTGTTTCTGGGTTTGCAGCTTTGTTCCAGTCGCTTTTGTTTGAAGCAGTGGGGCGGGTGGTGAATCCCGTGAGTGGAGCCGTTGGTTTGCTCTGGACGGGGAATTGGAAAGCCTGCCTGTCTGCGGTGCGAACAGTGCTCCAAGGCGGCACGTTGCAGCCTCTCCCTGAATTCAGCGGCGGGGAGCTTGAGGATGTTGCAAGGAAAGGTTTTGATGACGTTGGTGCTGGCGGCGGCGGCGGTTCTCCGTCGAGAGTGGAAGATTTTGTTACAAGGAAAGGTTTCGATGACGTTGCTAAACCCAAAACGACTGATCTTGATCTCTGCTTGATGATCGGAAACGATAGAGCAGTGAAGAGAAGCAGAGAATCTATATCGTCGGAAGAGTCCGAAACGACGACGGTGGGAAGTAGTTCAAATGATGGCGGCGGCGGGGAGAATAAGCTTTTGAGACTGTTCATCTGAGAAAACTCTTTTCCACATCTTCTCTTTATGTAATTTTTTTGTTATAATCAGTCTCTGAGATGTAATATTTCGTTTCTATTTTCGGCACGGTGAAGAAATTCGACCAATTTTCTAGAATTTCGAATTTCCCCTATGAATAAAAAAATAACAATTTTAAATTTTAAATTTTAAATTTTAAATTTTAAATTTTAAATTTCCAAGTTGTATGTAAATATAATTTTCGCTTTTTTATTCATCAAAGAGAAAAAAAGTATCCGAGTGAGAAGCGTTTGTTCTTTTTTAGGGTTAATGAAGAGTGCAAGTGGGCACGACTTCGCAACGTGAAATATGAACGGAAGCAGCCAAACATGGCAGTTGGTGGGGCGGGGGGCCCTTAAAACGTGAGACTGTCCTTTCGGTATCCTAAGGAGGTGTTTGGATGGCGAATTTAAGATTTTCATGGAAATAGAATTTATATTATCCCGTTTAGTTAGTCCGAGAATTTCATTTTCGATAATATAAGATTATCAATAGTGGATTTTTTGGGATATATTACCAGGAATGTCATTACCTCCATTTCCTTAGGTATTGTTGTATTCCCGACGTTTTGGACTAAAATGCCCTTAATTTTTTTTAAATATCCTTATTCTGTCATTGAATAATAAAAATTATACGAATGTTAAATTACAAATTTATCCTTAAACTATTTTAGATTTACAAAAAAAAATCTATAATTAAAATTTTATATAAAGTTCAGGGGTTAAAATAAAATTTTACCATTTCATTAAATCTTTTTATATTTTCAATTTTGTAAAAAATTTATATAAATTTTATGAATTTAAATTTTTTAAAGAAAAATATAAATATTTTTCTAACTTGTTAAAAAAATAAATATATAATAAGGACAATTTGGTTAAATATACATTTCAATAATCTTTATTCTTTTAACCTAACACGGTAATCTTACATTCTTGCTAAACCAACAAACACAAAATGCAACATTAACAGTAATCCTATTCCATGATAATCTTACATTCCCACTGGTAATTTTTCATTCCGTGAACCAAACGCACTCTAAAAGGTCATTCTTATGGTCCCAGTTAATTGTACTAAAACTAATCAAGGAAATTGATTCGAGTGATAAGTAATTTAATATTTTATAATAATTCTACATAATATTCAGTCTAAAATTATCGATTGATAAAATAAAAATTTGAACCGATTAAATTGATTTTCTCTTACGTTCATGCTCTTGATTTTGGTCTCTTTGTGAAACCAATAGTCATTTATAGGAGGCTTTTGTGGATGGAAATGAACTCCATTTTCTCTTATTTTAGTGCAAAGTTGATGGGGGTGGTGTTATTTCCATGCGTCATCACAGTCTACAAATCAAGTAATGCCCCTAGGGCCCACCTAATTATCTTCAATAACTAGAGCCAAATATATTTCATAAGCTTTGGGAACTTTTAAACCTTTCATAATTTGAACTCGTTAAATGAATTTAATGATTAAAAAGAATATTATTTTTATGAAATTCTGGGTTCGAATAATTATTTATGTAAAGTCTACAGGAAAAAACGAGATTTGGAATCTTTGAATGACTGTGTCTACTTTTCTTGCATGATTGAACATAGATTCAGTATGTTTATTTCGTTGGACAAACTAAAAGGAAGAATGGAAGATGAAATCCGCCTTTAAATTGTAGCACATGATAAAAAGTATAGGTGAAAGGGTCACTGTTGCTTCTGTAATATACTCAATTTATCATTTTCGTTCATTTTTTTTGCATTATTTTAACTCTTGAAGTTGTCTATGGTGTTCATCATAACTCTCGAAGTCGTTTTAACTAACATAATTATTAGTCTTCTGCATTTTTCAACACCAACAATTTTCATATTAGCCAAATATTATTGATGTGATTTAATGATGACGTGACATTTATTAAAAATAAATAAATAATAAAATATTTATTAAATATAATAGTTAGAAAAAAATCTCCTAATATCACTAAAATAAATAATAAAATTTTAAGAATTTGTTCTAACCAGTGTGTTTAATAAATATTTTAACCTTATTCCTTAATACATAGACGCAAAAACTCAAAATTCTGTTAATAAAAAAAAGTCAATAGACTTCGAATGCTAGAATGAACACCATAAATAATTTTGAGGACTAAACTGATGTAAAAAATAATAGGGATAAAAATGATAAATTAGATTTATTACAAGGACAACAGTGATGCTTAATAAAAAAAACATATGAAGTAAGAGGCAAAGTGGTGAAGAAAACATAGAGTAACCGGCAAGGCGACAATGGCAGCCCACATTAATGGTGCTTTAAGCTCCCGCATGCGCCGCAACTTAAACGTGTGTTGTCGCTGACTACTTCGGTCGTTTGGTCAAACACTCTTTACCGTCTTGTCTCTTCATCATCTTCTCTAGAAATTCATCATCTTCTCTAGAAAAACAAATATTTCTTCATGAACGGATCACATGCTTAAGGTTAAATTGTTCGTTACCTAGGTAGAAAAGCGTTGACCGTTGTTCATGGAACAAGTTTGACTCATGATGGTCGATAATTTATTCTTTTTGTTTGGATGGAGAATCACAACCGGCAACAAAATGACCGTTGATCGGTGTTTGAATGAATTAGATAATATATTACCACGAGGGAGGAGGGTCGATCGATTACAGGCGGTTCATCCGTAGGCTGATCAGACTTAGAACAAGCATATAATTACACATCCACGTAAGTGCAGTTCCATGAATGCAGGGCCGACCCAATACATGTGTCTTATGGGCGATCGCACAGGGCATCAATGCACAGAGCATCAATGTTTAAGGGGCATCAGTTTTCTGGGGCAACACGTTTCAATGGCGTTATTTTCTCTTCCCTCTCTCTCTCCTCTTCCTCCGCCATGGCTGCTTTATTCTGCATCTCTACAACTTCAAACGCGAATTTGTTTCTCTCGTACGAGAATGGGAGCTTCTTCAACTTCGTCTAAGTCGACTTCGCAAGTGATTCGGCATGTTGCTTCTTCAAATCCGAAAGTCGTCGACTCGTCGTCACCGGAGAACGAGGCAAAAACACCAAGCTCATTGACGCTCTGGTTTATACTTTCACTTTCTTCTTTGATTTCCCCTTTTTAAATGCTTCTGATGTTTTTATCAAGTTAATAAGTTACTTAGAGTTTCGCTTTTATCACTTTTTATTTGGAACTTGAAAGAAAAATAGTTCATTTTTTACCATATATTAAAAATCGTTCATTGGATTCTGGATTTTGGAATAAAAATCCATAGGAATTCTTTCATCGGTTATCCTAGTTTATATAAATAATGATATTAGAAGGGGAAAAAGTGATTTCTTGAAATAGGATTTTCCCTTCCAATATGAACGTTGATAAATTTTAATCGAGATTAAAAAAATTGAACATTTTTCACAAACGATTTTTAATTCAAATGCACTATGTATATCTATCTAGGTGCACTCAATAATCTGAACTTTGTTTTGTGGATCCAATGACACTTATTTAGCTGTAGGAAGTTGAGATTTATGACCTTGAATGGTTGAAAAATTGGAAATTTCCTCTTAAACTATTGGTTGTTCTACTTCTTACTAATGCAATCATCTAGGTGCACGAGTTTGTATCATTTTTAGTTTAGAGTATATATGGAAGTCTATAGTTGCTTCGATATTTTTCCTACATTAGCTTGGTGGTGCTGCTGGAACGCTATCCATCAACTTATATGTAAATTAATTAGTTGCACTTGATTTGCTGTTTATAGATGTAAGAATCATTTATAGTTAAGGCATAGCATATGGAGTAGTCTTGCTTTTCATTGAAATCAAAATCCTCAAATTTGATCAGTAATTGAAGATTGTTTACAACTGTCAATTGACAATGCTCATTCCTTTCAGGTACCTGTTGATCATGTTGATCAAATTGTCTTGGAGAAAGCCCTATCTGCACCGATTGTTGCTGTTGCTTCACCTTCTGCTGTTCGGTATGTAGTTGATCCTTTTCTCAGCAACTGTAGAATGTCTCAAAATGTTTTTCTATTTGTTAATCTGTTATAGAGGATGTTCTTCTATTGAGCTTATCTTCAGCCAGCTTATTATCCGTCCTGTAGACTTGTTGCACCATATAATTGGAATTATCATGTTAGCTTGACCTTGCCCTGTTTCGGATTATAATTGTTTTAAAAATATTATTTATGTTTTGTCTATTATACGGTACAAGTATAGGGGCATAAAAATATTATCTCGCCCAGGACATTAAAACTCATTGGACCGGCCCTGGTGGAGACAATCGGAAATGGGACTCTGTTTATGGTTGAACAAGCATCAAAATGATCATACATAGATGGTTAATCATAGCAGAACCAAGAAATACAATGACAATTTGGTTATCAGACGAACTTACACACACGTATATATATATACATAAACAATGCTTTCTTTACCTTAGCTATATTCAATCCGCTTGTATATTTGTCCAGTGTCGCCTCCGCCCATCGGAAAAACACGAACTTGGATGGTAATGTTTGTTAGCATTTAGGGTGAATAGTCGAAGAAAGATCAGTTCTACACACGCGTTGCCAGGCAGCCGGTAGCGGATACACGATTCCGTTGTAGTATATGCGACCTCAAGCTACAGTCGGTAACCTAATCGGAAATAACAGTCCTTGAACGATAAGCCACGTGAGTAGATGAAGCAGAGAATGGTTTGGAACATAAAACTGAACGCCAAATTTACCTGAATGGCAGCTATCATGGATAAATGATCATTACATTGTTCGAGCAAAACCCTTTCGTTTGCAGCCACACTCATAAGTTCATTGACCGAAGAATTCATTTCCTCCACCTGCAAGTAATTAGCACCGGAAAGAGTCGAATGATCTTTTTCTTTCTTTTCGGTAACACAAATGTCTACAAGATTTTATGACGGATTTTACCTTTGATGACAGTGAGCATATCGAGGACGCCATTGCGTGCATCACGTCGACAGCTGAACTAACAGCGTCCTTCAGATTCTGGATATCTACCTATTAAGAGAGAAAACAGAGAAAGGGAAGAGAAACAAGAGCAACGTTTGAAACGGAACGATACTTGCGGAGCTAAATCACTAATAGATTGTATGTCCAAAAGCAGGGGAAACAAGAGAACAAGAAGAAACTTACTATGGCTTGTCCGACAATTGGAAGACGAAGAGTACTGGCCTTTAAAGCTTCAGTTGCTCCTAGCAAAGAACTGGTGTGGTCTCCGTCGAGGAGTACCCATGGTTCCAAATGAGATATCTACACTCGTATCAATCATAACACATTTTAGTAACAAAGAACAGAAAATTCAAGCTAAAAAGCGAGGCTTTCGTAATCTAGAACGGCATTGTAAAGCGCATGCAGTAAGAAGTAACAAGAGTATACGAGGAATCAAGAGTCTCTAGATATCCATATTGATTAGGACCAACCGATATTCAGTAACCACTCGTGAAGAATGTTGACGGTGACTGCCTCTAAATCACGTTTCTAAGATGGAAGTACGAACAGGTCGGTAGACCGAAGGCTGAAGCAATTGTCTATGGAAATATCTACATGGATTCGATTAAATACTTCACAAATATTAAGTTCCAAATCTTACTTGTCCCTTCAGGATGGAAGTCAATTTCAATTTTTGCCTCACCAATAGCAACTTGATTCTCTTGAGAGTAGCGGAATACTGCAATTCCGATGTTGTAACCCATGCATTGCACAGATCTTTCTGCTAGAAAGAAAAAGGAGCATTTGTCATGAAAATGCCGTACTTATCGGAGGGCATCATGTTAAGCCTAAACTCACATTCGTCTTCATCATAGCCCGGGATAACTAAACGAAATCGAACCTAAAGTACATAAATTTACCAATGTAGCACTTAAACAAATTCTACGATGACAAATTGAACAAGATTGCATTATGCTTTCAAAAAGGATAACATTATGCAAGATCTACACTCACTTGCGCTACAGGTAAGCTTTATCATAAACTAGTTGGGTCCGGCTTGTTTGACAAGCTATTCCGGTGAAGTCAATCAAAACAGCCACCAAATATCACAGATCAAGACCATTGAATTACTTAGGAACAATGAGATCGACAAAGAGGATAACCATACCTCGGCATGCAGTTCCTGCACCATAAAAACAGCCTCTGCCCTTGCATTTGCAAATCTCCATTGCAAGTAACGGTTATAAAGAAGCCTCAACATGTGTGCATCGACAATTCGATCCTCCCCTACCTTTCCTCTACGAATATCAACCGAAAAGCTAAGAATCGAAGGGGTATTAACAGAACCACCAATCATCTGACCACCGACTGCGTTTCTCACCCGAGTAGGGCTTAACCCCCTCGACGGGGAGGAAGCCGAAGATGTCCAAATCTTGCTAGGAGAACCAGGCCTTGTGCCTCCCCTAATAGGAGAAGCCATTGTCCTCGGAGAAGGCATAGCTCCAATTCTACCCCCGGGGATCGTAGACAAAGGTGAACCTGGATCCTGCAACCGCCTTAACCGACTGTTCGTTTCCTGCCAAAACCTCGCAGATGCGAGAACACTACCGGAACCACTCCTCCCTTTGGAAATCCCATTTCCTCCACATTCCTGCATTCCAGAATTAGTGCTCCCAGAAGACACACTGTCCGAATCAGAGGCAGTGAGATCACAAGATGCACAAGAAGCCTCGTTTACACAATTGGCATCAAAAGATATCCTCCTACTACTGTCATCAAGCATCAATGACTGCTGCAATGACTTAACCAGCACTGCACCAGATCCACCAAGCAAATTCCTTTCACCAAAATAATCCAAACTCCTAGACAATGGATTCGAACCCGAATTCCCTTGCCGGGTTCTCTCAGGCCAGCGGTGCTGATCCACGGGTTTCGAGTTCTCCCGGTGATCTCTCACCGAAGTAGCTCTACGCCTCTCGGGAGATGCTTTCTTACTCAAAGTAGAACCACCTTGGAACTTGGTCTTACTAATCGGAAGCGAAAAGGCCTCACCTTGAAACGAAACGGATAAACTCCTCGTTGAAGTGATTAACATCTTGGTAGCAGCTGACAATTCCGCCGAATCAACATTGTTCCCTTGCAACACTTGACCTCCAGGCCGCCTCCGGTCCACTGATTGAGACAATTTTAAGAGGCGAGAGGGAACCATCTTTGTATTCTTGTCCGCCGCCCACGCCGCAGCCGTTGTATTAGTGGAACGGGAAATAAGAGTTGAAGGGAATCTCGCCGGAATCTTAGCTGCCGTTGTTGAAGAAGGCGATGGAGATGGAGACAAATACCGCGAAGGAACCTGTCTACCTCTGGGTTTCTTTTTAACAACGAAGTCATTGTCTTTGATGAAAGACCCTCTAATTGTATTCGAATTCGGGTTTTCTTCATGATTGGTGCTTGATTCAGTGAGCTCCGAAGGAGTTTGAGGAGCAGAAAATGTAGCCACCACCATCATCTGAGACTGCAAAGGAAACGCCAACTTTCTCTTCTACATTTCATTTTCAATAAATTACTAAGAACGGGTCTTCTTTTTCATGACTGATAACATGAAAACAAACGAGATTTTTAAGTGATTTTCGTCACAATTAAGAAGAAGACACCATCAAGAGTTTCGCAATGATTATGCATTCAACTTCAACCGCAGTCAAAACACACACCCACAAAGCTTTCTCTAGGTTTCCAGAGAACACTGAAGAACATAGTAGGTAAGGTGAGAGATTCTGAAAAGAGAGAGATGAAGGAAGAGCTTCAGCTGGGATTTTCGGGTTAGAGCTCTGCATGAATCTTTGGAAAGACGTTAGCTTAATTAATTATTCATAATTTATATCTTTAAATGTTTTGACTTCGAATAATAACGATTACATGTATTTGAAAATTTATTATCATATGATTTTCCGTCTTTAGTACGTATATTGTCATTTGTAATTATTTTATATTAATAAAAAATTATAATTTATGTAAAATAAAATAATATTTTAATTTTTTATATAACTATCGATATTTAATTTATTTATTGACTGACCCAAAAATATTAAAATTTTTAAATTTTAAATAGAATTTTAAAGAATGGCCAACTTTTTTCCTCTTCATTTTTTTGGGTGGAATGGTTGAGATAATGTGTTGAAAAAAATTCATCAAATAGTCCATTTAAGTAATTATTTTTTAGACTAAGGTATTTTGAACATTAACTCGGAGAAGATCCCAAGATTACCATGTGTCTTCAACTAATTCCTTTTTTTTTGCTCTACAACGTCGATAGACGACGGATCCATGAAAAAAAAAATCGCATGGATTACCAACGTCTTTGCCTTTAGACTGTAGAAAATATTTTAGTTCAGGAAATAATTTGGTGAGAGCTCTATATAAGGAATTTTTTTTCCAACGTCCTATTTAAACGAGGAATCCATTTTTAGGGGTGTTAGGTGAATGATACAAATCGACCCACATTTTCTATATCTTTGGGTAATTAATATTTGATGTGTATGTATTGATGCATATAATTAAACATTAGAGATACACACAACCATCAAAATCAAAGAGTAACACCTTAAAAAATATCAATAAAAATCTCTTAAAATTTAAAGATGAATTAATTTTGATAATGCATACAGTCAATGGATTAATAAATAATTTTAAAAATAAAAATAATATCAATAAAGAAACATAATATTATGTCACTATTAAGCCTTATATATTATTAATATGAAATAAAGAGCAAAACAATGAATGCCAATGATGTTCCAGTCATTCATTTTGTATAAATTCTCTCACGAGAATTGAGTGGTAATTTAATATCTTGTATGAGCATGACGTCAATATTTAGATTTATTTTTGGCTCAATAACAAAACTGACCCTTAAATTATTATATTTTCTCATTGAGATGCTAAATCATTTTAAATAATAAATTATACCAAAAATATCATTATTCTCGTATCTAATAATACCAGGTCACATCTCGCTTTCGTATCGACCTTTTTTTATGAGCCCCACAAAATATAATTTAAATACTTATCCTCGTAAAATAAATAATTAATTAACTTAAAAAGGAGTATAATTCAAGGGTCAATTTAACAATTAAACTTTTGTTTTTTTTCCTTGCAAAAATTGAGACCTTTTCACCGACGTAGACGTTGGGGATGGATCGAGCGGCGGTCGTTGTCCTTAAATTTAAAAATTATCTTATATTTTAAATTTTTTATGTATTTTTTTATTGAAAATTTATTTTATTTCTTAAAATTTTATAAGTTTAAGATGACCCCAATATAAAATCTTGCGTTCGGTCCATGATGGACGCAAATTTCCCATTTCTTCAATTAGAAGGATACATTAAACTTTATATCAATATCACTCCAATCAATGAAGAATATGAAGAATGTAGAATATATAAATGTATGTAGCAAAACAATTTTGTCAAGTTGTTTGTTGTTTTCTTTCACTTTCATAAAAATTTACGATTAAGAAACTTAACTATATTCATGAATGTATATCACCCTAATAAGTTTTCATAAATAAAATAATATATCAAATTTAATCGGATTTTATAACAAATTCTAAAATATTTTATTTTATAATTCGACCTAATTCTAATCTAATCAAATAAATCTCACAAATGACCGAATCCTTGAACATTTAGTAATGTTTTCTTCCTTGACATACAGAACACTGGCGGATCTAGAATTTTTTTTTAGAGTGGACACACATATATTTAAAGAAGAAAAATCGAATTTTTAGAAAATTTCAGGGTGGACACACGCAAACCCTAATAGCAATGTGGATCTGCTAATTATATAGAATATATCAATAATATTTTCTTATGTGAATGAGTTAATCTCAGACTTTGATTTTTCCTCGTCCAACGATCTTAAAAATAGATAACACTAAAAGTTTTACGTTAGAGATAAGTCGATCCTAACCCAAATATATATATATATATATATTAAGAAGATGGAAGACAAAAAAAGAATGTGTTGTGATTATTGCAGGGAAAGCTAAAACCCGGTTGTTAATTAGTTTAATATAAGATGCAATGTCTCTTTTCATCTAATTATCTCAATCACTCATTGCTTTCCACTCTCTCTTTTCTCTTCCTTTTAACAACATCATAATATATTTTATGTCAAATATATATTATAATGTTTACCTAAATTCGAATAAGATCAATTATGTTTATTATGAAACCCAAGAAAGTGAAGATGAATTATAATTTATAGTATTAGTCGACCACTGTAAGAAATGATACTGGAAAGGTGGCGGGTCGCATATTTCAATATTTTAACAGTTTAACTTTTTATATTTTATGTTGGGTTGACATAGATAACCATGATTAAACTGATTAACAGACAATTAGACTTAAGATGCTGTTAGGTACCCCACCTTCATGAATTCTACATATAATGAACACATAAGGAAATCATATTCAAAGATTACCGGGAGTGGCTGTAAACAATTAAAATTCATAGCAAAAGTGAGCATCTCCTGTATTCATAATATGGGTGAAATATCTTTCTACATCTCTTTAATCTCTCAGGCATCAGTTGTCTTTGTTAATAACAGGAGACGGCATAGTGGTGACATATGCTTGACTTTGTTTTCTCTATTTTCTTCGCTTATTAAACAACGTATCTCTAACTTGAGTAGTGACCATTGATGAACGGTGGTCGGCGGCGTGGGTTTAGGTTTGCGAGGGTCACGGCTGTAGAGGAGGAGTAGGTGTGAAAACACATAAAAGGGTAAATTAGAACTTTGTCCCTAAATTACTTTGAATTTATACAATAGTCCCTAATTAGTATTTTATCTAAAGTTTAAGGATTCAAATAAAACTTAAGCCTTTTTCTAATAACGTACCACGTCATTCAACTCACGACAACTAATGTCTCAGTGACCACATCCTAATTAAAACAAAAAGAAAGTGACCATATATTACATTTCTAGAACCCAGTGATCATACATTTATAAAACTAAAGCAAAAGTGACAAAGTCTATAGTTTACCCTTTTTTAATAATAGTATTAATATTTATATATATTATTTTTTATAAAAATAAATATAATATAAAATTTCCATGTACTTAAAATTCAAGTCGGGCTCGAGTTCGAGCTTCAATCAAGCTAAATCTGAAAATATTTTGAGTTCAAATTTTTTTCGATCTCAAACCAAGCTTCAATTCTTTAACTCGAGTTGAACTTGAAAATTTTAAGCTCTATCTACATGCATGTGACTTAAGACACACTCTATATACAATCACTACAAAACAAATATATCTATGGACAAATAAATACTTATCCTCGTAAAATAAATAATTAATTAACTTAAAAAGGAGTATAATTCAAGGGTCAATTTAACAATTAAACTTTTGTTTTTTTTTTCCTTGCAAAAATTGAGACCTTTTCACCGACGTAGACGTTTGGGATGGATCGAGCGGCGGTCGTTGTCCTTAAATTTAAAAATTATCTTATATTTTAATTTTTTTTAATGTATTTTCTATTGAAAATTTATTTTATTTCTTAAAATTTTATAAGTTTAAGATGACCCCAATATAAAATCTTGCGTTCGGTCCATGATGGACGCAAATTTCCCATTTCTTCAATTAGAAGCATACATTAAACTTTATATCAATATCACTCCAATCAATGAAGAATATGAAGAATGTAGAATATATAAATGTATGTAGCAAAACAATTTTGTCAAGTTGTTTGTTGTTTTCTTTCACTTTCATAAAAATTTACGATTAAGAAACTTAACTATATTCATGAATGTATATCACCCTAATAAGTTTCATAAATAAAATAATATATCAAATTTAATCGGATTTTAATAACAAATTCTAAAATATTTTATTTTATAATTCGACCTTGTCGTAACCGGTTTTCGTTCGGGCACGAAATATTTTACTTGGCGGGAAAAATGATGTGAATAAATATTTTTTTAAAATAATTTGGAGTCGCCATCGGCCTTTTGGGTCAGGTAGGTCGAATACCTAAAAATCATCTTTTAAAAGAGTTTTTAAAAAAACATCAGTTAAAAGATAAACTGATCTGCGTTTAACCAAAAATTCATTCTTTTTTATTATTAAAAAGGGATTCGTGGTCGGTTACGTTTAGGGAAGGATTAGCACCCCTATAACGCCCAAAATTGGTACTTTTTAATTATAAATTGTCTCTATTATTGGAAATTTAAAAATTCAAAGATATATTTAATTCATAATTCTATTGTTTCAAATAATTTTAAGAAAATATATTAATATACATAAATAATATATTTACTTATTTAGAAATATCATAAAAGGGCTTCTAGGTGCTTTAAGACAGCTCTTTTCTTTAATATTTAAAAATAAATATCAAAAACCTTTTATTTTAATATAGTAAGATATTTATTTATTCAAAAATATCAGAAAAGAGCTTCTAGGTACCTTAAGACAACTTTTTTCTTTGATATTAAAAATAAATAAATATCAAAATATGATTATTT